TCTTTTAATGAAATAATCTTTACAATATATGGCTTATATGAATCCCAGCAAAATTTAGAAAAATAAACAATATGGATTTAAGATCTTATTGCAAGAAGAAAATGCCAGAGATTACACTTCTAACACAAGCCACATCGTGAGTTAAACTAGGTTGGATCTCATCAGATGTGATGCAAACTTGGCCAAAAACGCATCAAAATTTGAAATACGTCTGTACATCATCACCAATGTTGTTAAAGAGAAATCTCACCCCAGGACTATACTGAGCCTTGAGAAATTAACTCACGACAAAACATGTGCAAATAGTAACTTAGAAGACATTAATATACATTCATTGGAAGTGTTTGCTCAAAAAACTTTTATTGGGAAATCTGGAGACCATTGGCATAGAAGGCAGAGTCTAAGGCAGTGTCATCAGACACACAATAGCTTGTGCACTAGCAAATGTTCTATTGGATGGTATCAGATCACACACTTGACAATAAAGCACATGCATTTCAAAGCACCTTGTCAAAAAGGAGTAAAACTGCAACTCATTATAATTTCCCTTGTTACAAGTATTTATGGCAAGTATTAAAATTACCAAAAAAAAAAAAAAAAAAAAAAGAGAGAGAAACAAGATCCTTCCCTAAGCTCTCCTTTTCACTTCACAGGTCAATCTCCCCAGAGCCAACCAGGGCCCTTCCACCCGGATTTGCCTAAAAGGAGCCAGACCTGAGAGTTGGCCAGGTCCATTTACTTCTGCACTGATATCAAAGAGACACGTTCTATTATTTCAAAAGGAGGTAGCAATACATAAGAGTTAGTTTTGTTTTTAAGACAAAAAAATGTCTACTTTATGATCCAACTCGCCTCCCTAAGGATTAAGAACTATTAATTAAACAAGAAGGCCATTAGAGCGAGAGGGGACCTGGGAGGTGGGGGGGGGGGGCAAAATCTAAGCCTATAAATGCCTCAAGGCTATGAAATCAAAGCTCTAAGGAGAACCAATCATAAGCAGCCAACCAGGCTTCCAACTGTGGCCAATCATTTCCTTCCTTTGCTTCAGCCTCCAATTAAAGCCTCTTTCCATCGCCAGCCAGGTGAGGGGAGCAAGACCTCAAATAAGCTCTTAAAATGTTTACTCATGGACAACAGGGGAGCGGGGGCATGTGTGGGGAGGCGTTTGGGATGGTAATAGGGAGGGGAGGGGGATGATGACAAATATGTGATACCTTAATCAATAAAGTAATTTAAAAAATGAATAAAAAAGAGCCGGGACCGGTTTGGCTCAATGGATAGAGCGTTGGCTTGGGGACTGAAGGGTCCCGGGTTCGATTCGGGTCAAGGGCTTGTACCTTGGTTGCAGGCATATCCCCAGTAGGGGGTGTGCAAGAGGCAGCTAATCAATGACTCTCTCTCATTGATGTTTCTAACTCTCTATCCCTCTCCCTTCCTCTCTGTACAAAAATCAATAAAATATATTTAAAAAAATGAATAAAAAAATAAATAGTACTAAATATATCAACCTGAGTGGATCCCCAAAATAAAAATGTTGAATGAAAAAAATAAAATGTTTAATAGGCCTCAGTTTGTCTCTTGACAGTTGTGGCGTGAGAAGAGGAAAGCAAAGGAGGCTGCTGGCTGCCCCGGGGTCAAGGCCAACCAGGCCCGGGTACCTGCGGGCGCTGGGCTCCTGCTCCCGGCGCTGCCTCTGGAGGTGGCGGCGGTGAGTCGGTGTGGGCTCCTGGCTCCGCAGCCTCAGGTTACACGCTGCAGGCTTCACCTGGGCATTTCTGTTTCCGGTCTGGGCCCGGAAACCAGCCAGAGTCGGACGGGGTCCAGGAATGGACAGCGGCCGACTTGGAAACCGGACTGAGGTCAGTGCCAGGCTTCCGGTGAAGAGCATTTTGTTTTAAAGCTGGACAAGTAGGTTAATCTTACGAAAGACAATCTTAAGTTATCGTGGCCATAGTGGAGAACTGTAAGCCTGGAACTGTTCATTACACAAGGAGGCTACTAGACAGAGGTGGCTCCAAGGCATGGAGGACTGTAACGGCCTACACAAGCAAACCCAACCCTAAGCCTGTGATTGCCTCAAGGTTACAAATTCAAAACACTAAGGATAAGCAAGCACAGCCAGCCAGCTAGGCTGGCAGCCCACCTGTATTTCCTTGCTTTGCTTCTCAGCCTTTTCTTTATTTTTAATATATTTTGTATTGATTTCAGAGAGGAAGGGAGAGAGAGAGAAAAACATCAATGATACTGCCTGCTTCCTGCATGCCCCCCATTGGGGATCCAGCCCACAACCCAGGCATGTGTGTCCTGACTGGGAATTGAACCATGACCTCCTGGTTCATAGGTGGATGCTCAATCACTGAACCACACTGGCCTGGCCTTCTGCCTTTTCTTTTTAATTTTAATTTTATATTTTTATTGATTTCAGAGAGGAAGGGATAGGGAGAGGTAGTAACATCAATGATGAGAGAGAATCATTAACCAGCTGCCTCCTGCATGTCCCATTCTGAGGATAGAGCCCACAACTGGGCATGTGCCCTTGACTAGAATTGAACCTGGGATCCTTCAGTCCACAGGCTGATGCTCTATCCACTGAGCTAAACCAGCAAGGTCTCTTAAGCTCTTTATAAAAGTCTCTGAGCTCCAGTTGGTGTTCCTAAGCACATCTAATTTGGTACTACTGATTCCAATCAATTTTTTTTCTCAAAAAAAATTTTATTAAAGTTTAGTATGCCTGTTTATCTCTTAACTGAATCAGCCTTTACATTAAGATATTTAGAGCTGAGATTCATGCCAATGTCTTGTAGTGTGTGTGTGTGTGTGTGTGTGTGTGTGTGTGTGTGTTTTAAGGCAGGCAGGCAGGCAAGAAGGAAACAAAACCAAAAATAAAGAGGAAAAGAGGAGGAATGTGTATAAGAGGACTGTCTGTTGCCTTCAGTGAAACTTGAGGCTCTAGAATTATTAGTTCAAGAGAAAACAAGTATCAGACATCTATATTTGAAAAGTTCCCCTGAGGGCCGTTGCTAACTAGGAGCAGTCCCAAAGACATCTCTGAAATATTTCTTAAAGCTCTTATTTTTCTCCAAAAGATTATTTTACTACTAAAAAAAAAAAAAAATCAAAACCCCTAGCTCTTTAACAGGGTGGCATTCAAACAGGCTGTGATAAAATCTTTCCCTTACATTTGTCTTTGAAATGGAAATGGGATCTCATGCAAAGCACCAAAAGAAAAACAACAATTTCAAATGCTATCTTGGGTGACATGCTTATAATCAAATGAAGGAATTACAACATGTGATCTCTTAGGTTAGAATTACCTTTTCCATCAAGGCTCCCACTTGAGACCTATACTTTCAAGAAAGAAGGAATTACTATCACTTAAAAATGGCACCCCTAATTTCTGTTTGTGGAAATTCCAGACTCTTCAACTTTGCTCCCATGAAAAAGGCCACGCAGGAAGCATATATTACTCCCTTGAACCTGAACTCCACCATGGCCATTTGCTGAAATAAATTTACAGAGTTATGAGGAAAGTTGTGACCTATCATACCCAAAGTAATAATCTGCCATCCTTCTCATTATATTTGACACCATTATTTTATAGTTAGGAAAAGTCTGTCATTCGCTTTTTAAAGGTACACAGACCAGAAGAATATTACTATATTACTGTAATTAAACCCTATCACATAGCTCCTGTAAGCAGCTTATGTGTTCTGGTGATTTATTTCTTTATTAACTCTTCCCCCTTAAATAGAAGAGGGTAGAAACTCTGTAGACTCAGGGCCACTGCCTGGCTATCAGATGGTTGACACTTATTCAATATATTTATAGAATGAGTAGCTCATATAATTTTATTATATAGTTATTATAATATCATATTGCGGATATCCCCAAGCTTAGCCTGTTAACACTATTAGTAAAATACATCATACATATAACATTTATTTTGAACAACAAAAAAAGAACATAAAAAATTCACTTTAAATAATCAAGTATTCCATAAATGCAAGTGAATATGTTTTATTAAATGCATACTAATATCTTTCTATAGTGAGTATACATAATAAGTTAAAATGTATATATTTATTAAATATAGATATAATACCAGAACATGATTATTTCAGATGAGAAATCAAAATAAACCCATTTTTAAGTATCTTTTGGTCACTCCAAATTGATATTGCTCATAAAAAAATACACGGATTTTTTTCCCTAGGGAAAAAAGAAATTAATTCCATAGCAATGTGGTTAAGGGACATGTTTTATTTCATAGCTTTCTGCAAGCAAAAATTGCTTTAATACAAAATGAGTTCAATGATACAAGTGCTACTGTCCACTCAAGCAAAAGAAAACCTCACAGTTATATGGATGCACTTTATAATGATATTCTTACAGTATAATAGGTCTGCTGTCCGGGACACCTCTGGCCTCATGTGAAGAAATGGCACAGAGATGGTGCAAGGCTCCTGACCATCATAGCTCTCGCAGGGGCTTCAGAGTTCTCTGTCAGATACAAACTTACAGAGCTGGGTGAGGATGTGTCTGCCTTTCTGCCCTCCAGCTTTGAGTTTACATTTACATCATCTTGAAATAGACCCCTTGTGTGTGTCTTTCCCCACTTCGGAGTTTCCACAAAAACAAGAAAAAGTCATGAGGTATCCTTAGCGTCAGCTACCCACGTAGGGCTGTGGCTTTGGAGGACGTGGACTTACCTGCAGGTACGGGAATTGGTTTTAGTGTGTGCTCCCGCCATGACGGTGCAGAAATGTTAGTGCGTGTTAAACTCTACCTTCCCCTCACATATAATGTGACTGTAACCCCAGAGTATCTGACAAAAAAAATTATACAGATAAAATAAAAAGACAAATACACAAATAAGGCCATCTGCAGAATTTTTAAACTCACCTCTTGCAATATTTCACAATAATTTCTACATCATATTTTACATCTTTCAAACTTAAATAATAAATGCTCAAGGAAGGGCCTTGGTGGGACCAATGGCACTATCTTTTCGAGGATTTGTCCAATTTGCCGGCCGGTGACTTCCTCTGGGGGGTGGGGATTTTAGAAGGCTTGGCTGTGGACGGCCGAGAGCTTGCTCGGGGTGAAGGTCTGTATGTTTGGGGAGCAGTCTCCACGTCGGAGCACACGGACTGGATTTCGGAAATGTCAAAGTCTGACGCATCACTGCCCCGGCGGCTGCTGGCCCTGCTGCCAGCCTTGCTTCCCGCTCTGCTTCCTGGTCGGCTGGGAGTCTTCTTGGGATCTGGGGAGGAAGGGCAGAGACGGGTCATCCTCATCACTGGGTCCACCTGCAGAGACTCCTGAAACCTCCTGCCTCCTTGAATCTCAGCGATTGCTCTTGACACCTTGTGGGCACTCAGAAAATACTGTGGGTTCATGGTTCTCTCCGTTCTACAAGGGTAGGCAGCCTCCCTCTGAGCAGATGCAATACACACAAAGCTAGATATACTAACACAGTTTAGGTTTGGGCTTAAAAGAGGATTCCATTCACCACAAACAGATACAAAGAACACAGCTCTAACATAAGGTTGTGCATTCCCAAGTGCAGTGTGTATACCCAGATGCGTGCAGTGCACACACCGAGCAAACTCTTAGGTGCAGGTTTGGCCCGAGGACCAGTAATTGAAAGGACTTGAAACTTTAAAAAAAATGTTCAGGCTTGCTGAGCACAGAACCCCAGGGGTTAGGCTCACTCTTCTGTGAGAAAGATGAGAGGCACTCATGTCAGGCCCAGTATGGGTGAGTTTCTCCAACCACCTGAAATGGAGCCCAGGACCTAAGACTTTCCAGCTAAGAGGGGCAGGATACTATTGTCATTTTTTCTTCTGTTCTCATCTCCCAAAGGGGTTTTCTAGTCACCCACTCCCATGGCTCATTTATCCCCTACCTTGGAGGGAATTACTGGGGCTACATGTCATCTCAAAAGAACACAGCATCATCAGTTCACAATCTCTTCCCATTGAGGACAGGGGACTTCCATCTTCAGAGTATACTTCAAAAGCCATTAAAGCAAGACACATGCCCTGGCCGATGGGGCTGAGTTGTTAGTACGTCAGCCTGTGCACCGAAGTGTCTCTAGTTCAGTTGCAGGTTCGATCCCAGGCCCTGGTCAGGGCATGTGTGGGAAGCAACCAATCCATGTGTCTCTCTCACTCATCTCTGTCTCTTTCTTTCTTTGTCTCCTTCTTTCTCTTTATCCTCCCTTCCTCCCTTCCACTGTCTCTAAAAAAAAAAAAATCAATGGGAAAAATATCCTTAGGTGAGGATTAAAAAAAAAAAAAAAAAGGCATGCACCACACTCACCAGCAAACTGTGTTCGGACTCTGGTAGCTGCAGTTGTGATCAAGCCACTGTCGTCCCCCGAGTGGAAGCCTTTCCCTGATAAATATCCTGGAAGTCGAAGCTTGCTTCCTTGTATCGGTGTTCCCTGTATTCAACCAGTGAAAGCACATGTCAAAATTCTGCTCAAGTTCATCACTGACAACACTTTAAAGATGGCTGCAAACCCTCTGCTAGACCTCCTCGGCGAGGCATGGGGTTCTCACTTGCTTGTCTCCACTAATCTCTTATTCTCTCCCTGAATTCAAAGGGAACCTTCCAAAGACAAGGAATTCGTGTTGAAGAATAAACACAAAAAAATGGAGATCCCCAAATGATGGTAAGGGGAAAAAAGACAAATTAAGCTGTGAGTACATTAGTATTTTCAGTCTGTTGGTAAAGAGTAAGGAATTAAGAAATACGGATGAAACGACGCTGACTGCCTGGCACCGAGAGGAGATGGGGCTTTGAAAAACTGTGCTTGGATACTCGCTACAGCCAACACTTTTGGGAAAACAGGCAGAAATGAACCAACAGAAATAGAACAATAAGTAAACAAGTAAAGCCGAGATAGCCATAATTTAAACAAATTAATTGCAAAAAAAGTGACATTTCAGAACTTGGTAAAATGTCACTTCCTTTTCTGGCTCCATGAACTTCTGTGATCCTTACGTACAAAATACCTAGGCAACGCTTGGGATAATTCTTTTAAAATTCTCATAGGACATAAATTTTATCATAAGCCTAAAACAACTGCACTTTTTATAGATCACTACAACATTTTGAAAATTCTCTGAAAGTTAAAAAAATAAATAAACCAATTTCCTGAGAAGTGTAGGGACTGTCATATTCCTTGAATTCAAAGGGGGCTATTTGAAAAAAAATTTATTCAAATTATGTGTGCATGTAAAAAAAATTGAACTGTCCCTTTATTAGTTTAAAATGCTTAATAAAGGATATGTAAGACCTTTTGATACATCAGGGTTACAAATCTGTAATGTTAACATAATATTTATAATCCACTTACATATGTATTCATACATTATATTCTATACATATATTTTACAAATGTATTCTATGCATATATAACTATAGAATTTATATATTCCTTCTATACATACAATACTTAAGTTTTCAAAATATTCTTGGACAGACAGCCACAATTTATCTTCCCAACTCATCTAATCACAACTTTTTTGCAAATGTGAAAAATGAGAGCCTGAGGAGGGAAGTGATTTGCCCAAGATCTGACATCTCTGATCTAGCTAAATTCCTAACCAAGAATATCTCAATTATCCATAAGAGAGTAAGGACCCACAATTATAAAACATATTACTCAAGGTGGCAGAATCTATTACCATGGAAGACACGAAGCATTATTCTCAGAATGTCTGGGTGGATTTGAACGGATTGCTCTAAACCCTACCTTTAAAGCCCTTCTATAAAGGTACACTGTTGTTTTGTCTGTCTGTTTTTTGTTTTTGTTTTTGTCTAATGAGCCTACTTGAAATAAAGCACAGTTTTCTTTTGATCAAAATTAGCATGCTTAGACTTTGATTTGGAGACTCCCTACTTTTTAAAATTGTGAACTAACATAGCAGCTCGAAATAGTTAAAGCAAACATGTTGCTTGAGGTTCCTTAAACTGGACTCAGTTCTTGCTACAATAGATCCATCATGAGTGACAGACACCTCTAGATGTTATAATACCACTGCTTCTCACTTAGGGGTGAGGATGCAAAGGAGGGGCTGGGGAATGGGGAAGAGTTGAAGAATGAGTTGTTTCTGCCCCATTTCTACCCCTGTCATTAATGTCATTTCCATCATTTCCCTCTGAGGCATGAGGGAAACCAAAGTTTCCCTGCCTATGTTTTATCACTGATGTGATAAAATAATAGATCAGAAAGTGTTATGAAAAGCACAAAGGGCTTTCTAAGGGCAGCATATCACTTTCAGACTTGGATTCTGGCCTTTTACCTGAAATACTCACTTCAACTCAAAAGCCGTTATTTAGGGATTTTCTTCCCTTAATGATTATGGGTGTTTTTTTTTTCTAATCAAACATGTGCTTATTTGGTGCCTATGTTTGTCATTTTACAAAGAAGTTCTTTAAAAGATATGGTTGACTTTCACTTGAATCATGGCAAATTTTATATCACCTAAATATCGTATCCCCATATTAAGAAAGCTAAAGCTTGCTTAATAATAGCCCTTGAAGTCTAATAAAGATATGTTGAAAACGACACATAATTATTTGCATGACTAGGCCCCTACTCTTATGTCTCACCCACCCAGTGTTTTGGGGCAGAAATAAGTATAACAGACATTCAGAAAAACCTTGCCTACAGTGAACCCTCAATGAAAATTATTTTAGTTAAGCGATTTCTCTTTCAAATGGCACCACCTCTCTCTCACCTAAAGAGGTTTGGTTGTATTTCTTATGTCTAGAAGCAAAAGCATACCATCAGCTTTAAAAGAAACTTTACTTAAGTCTGGATATAATCTCTTGTATTTCACTCTCGCAAGAGAGAAAAGTAAAATTAAGTATAAGGTGCAGAACCTGCAGGTGTGGCTATGTTAAACTGACATTATGCAAGGAGCAAAATCTAAAATCTGTCTTTTCTGTTAACCCTTTACTCTCATGTCTTCCAAGAACTGGTGGGTTGATATTTATCTTATACAAGCCTATTAAAAAGACACAGCAGTGCCCTAGCTGGTTTGGCTCAGTGGATAGAGCATTGGACTGGGAGTTGGAAGGTCCAGGTTCAATTCCAGTCAAGGGCACATGCTTGGGTTGTGGGCTCGACTCCCAGTAGGGGGCATGCAGGAGGCAGCCGATCCATGATACTCTCTCATCATTGATGTTTCTATCTTTCTCTCCCTCTCCCTTCCTCTCTGAAATAAATAAATATATATATATATATATATATATATATATATATATATATATATATATATATATAAAGACATAGCAGTATCAAAATTACATATATTCAGGGAGAGGTAAAGCAATGTTAGTGGGTGATAGTTTCAATGAAAGGCTGTTAGACTGGAATCTGGGGCCTTACGATACCTCTGCAGATGGCACGGAAAAGTCTGAGCACTCTGCTGGCTTACAAGGAGTTGACATTTTGCTGTTTGTCAACCATGGTTTACCATAATTGCGTGTTAAAGGATGGAGGATCTGTATGGAACAATGGCAAATCAAAGGTAAAGGATAGCAGGTAAAACACAAAGCCACAGAAAGAGATACTCATAGCAAAGACTCACATTTCACAGTAGGAACAATAATAATTAAAAATACGTGGAAAGATCTGATGGCAAATCATACACACCAAAAAAATGAATGAAGCTTCATAAAGAAAAACCAATCTGAAAGGTAATGAAAGCAGCGCCCAGTCTTACAGGGGCCACAGGGCAAAAGCATGCATTTAAAAAAAATAATAATAATCCTTCATCTGCCATACTGTGAGAAGGAACATAATGGAGAAAGCTCACAGATTCTAGGGTCCTAACACATTCAGAAGTGTATTCAAGGCACAGATTACAAGAGAGGAGGAAAGCATTTCCCACCCGAGTCCTACCTTGGGCGTGCTGGTGGCATGGACCTGCGGGGAGGCCGCCTGGCCAGCCGGGCTGGACACAGATGTCGATCGGTTGGGTGAAGCTCCACGCGATGAAGGCCGTGATCTTCGGCCGCGGGGTCGGAAAGCAGCCATACCCTGACTGGCACCATCTGCTAAAATGAACTTCTCCCGAAGTTCCATGTTCGTCCTTCCTTTGGCTGGTTCACGTAAGGAGGTACACAAAACAGAAGAGGAGGGAAAACAAGAGGCGTTCAATCATTTATGGGAAGAATGACCACTTGGCCACCACAGATAACGCTGAGGATTTGAGGACATCGTTTTCCATGCCAACTCCAACTCAGCATAACAAAAAGGTGAATGCATTCCGTTGCAATGCATTCCTTTTGGATACAAGTCAGTTTGGGGGGGGAAAGAAAAGGAAGAGTGTGTTTATTCCAACACTAGACACCAGCCAGAATAACCACTATCAAAGAAAGAGTCAGCATGAAAATGGAAAAGCTCATGCTCAAGTATTGTTAATCCACCAGCTCCTGATGCCCACATGGGTTCATGACCCTTCCCTGCACACTGAGAAGGCAAGCCAGTCAAGCAGGGACTGTGCCTTTTGCATGTACTGCTGGGGTAAGGAGAATGCCATAATTTTAACATTGGGAGTCATCAAACAACGGAGTTACACAGAATGACAGATGGCTTGTTAATCATGAGGACAGCATTGAAATTTCAGGTTTTCCACTGGGATGAGGCAGCTAGCCTTTTTATTTTATGCCTCGAACAGCTCTCTTTTACCAACATGCAATAACAAAACACCGGACCCAGGGACCCAGGAGGTCATCGGTGATGCCACACTCACACGAACACATGTGTGCACGGAGAACACTCCACGAGGACCCGATGCAGCGTGTTAGCACGTGTTTGACCACTTACATCACACCTACACTTGCAGCACACCGCAGGTGTGTGACATGTTCAGACTTTACGTCTGGAAGCACCAGCTCAGTTGGATATGACGTAAGCCATACGCAAATGGATGAAGCGTGTTATTTTTAAAGCAAATTAAAGCAGGAATGTAAAAGTAGGGGAGAGAAAAAGTAAAGAGGGGAGAGGCAAAGAGAGGGGTTGCCAACCTATAGTAGGCTGAGTAGTAGTAATTGAAGAGTTTGATTCCGAACGTAACATTTTACTCCCGTGATGATGAACTAGAAAAAAAATGACACAGGAGATCAATCACATTCAAGAATACTGTTAGCAGGAAAAGAAACAAAGTACAGTCAGTAGCTGACTCTGCAAAGGGATGCTCAGGTCCGGCCTTCAGCACACATTTAGGAGGAAAGTTGCATCAGGAAAAGCGCTCAAAGGTTTGACTCAGTAAGAAACAAGTATTCAGAAGGCTTTGCCACCGTCACGCTAACTTTCCTAAGCAGCCCATTAGAACACTGCATGTTCTAATCTCTCTGTTTCATAAAAGGAACTGCATTACCTTAGACTGCATTATTTTCAAAATATGAAACAAAAAGGAACATTGTGTCATTTCACACCGTTTGACATGCAGACAGCAGAGCTCCTAGCTGTGGCTGTGTGATCATCCTACGGTGGCCTCCCTCCGCAGAGGCCTGCTGACCACATGGCAGCTCAGTAACCAAGAGCCCACAGGGGGAACCGTGACCTCCCACTTGGCAGCCTGATAGTGCTGGCACCAACATTTGCTCTTGTTTGTTTGAAGGGATTAAAATGGGTTCAAGAAAAGCACAAAAATCTCTCTGTCTTTTTTCAAAGAAAAATGGGCCTACTGCTGAGTCCATGGGAGCTAACTAGAAATTGTAATCAAATGACCACCTGAAAGGTGAATCAATTAAGGATTCAAAAATTGACAACAGGATTTGAGAAATAAGGGGAATTAAAAGCTGATCGAGGGCTCTTAGGCTGGTAGACATGGTGAGAGCTGTAGTTTATGTCTGTATTTTTAATGTTCTGCCACTTCAAAGTCAGAGTCGGGTTATCAGTTCTTGTTTGTTTTTAATCTTTGAGTACTGTTTTCCTCACCTCCTCCTACTTGTATAAAAAATTTCAATTTTAAACTTTTACTATCCAGCACCTTTACTACTCATCACCTCAATTTCTTTCCCTCCTACTTCGCTATTTAATGAGAAATGAAATGCTCCCCTGGTTGGTGCAATTGTTCATTTTGAAAATTGCAGATGGGATTGTCTCAGAAAGAAAATCTAGTATTTCTTGCCTCCAGTCCCATGTTTATCCAGAGAAGTCAAAAAACAACAAGAAGAACACGGTTTAATGACTGCCACAAGTTCTCTGGAAACTTCCAGCTGACAGAGCAATGTGAAACACTCTTGTCATTAAATGACCAAAGTTATACCCGAGCATGTGTTTGTTGCTGGAAATGAATACAAAACCGACATCCTTTTATGGTGCGATTATCTCAACACAGGTATCTCCTTACCCCTGCAAGGGTCGTTTTTCACCAAGAACTCATCAAGCGCCATCCATCCCCCTCCGACTCGAACCATCACGGTACTTCGCAGGATGCGGACCAGTCGCAGTTGCTGGGAGTCTCCAAACTGTGAAGATGAAGAAAGAAGACCCTCTAATTGTCACTACTCATTCTATCCTAGCGGGTGGTGTGCGATCTGCAGTAGCGTAAGCAACCAACTTTTAACGTTTTGCTTAGTTCGCAGCGATTAGTAAAATCTCAGAAAAAGGGGTTTGTAATGATCTGTGTTAGGCTGCTGCATGCTGATTTAGCCCAAAGGAAACAGTTTGAAAAAAGATAACAAAGGTTATCAAGTAGAATATGGAAGATTTCTTCTAAAAATGATGTTTTTCTTTCTTATAACAGATACATTAGTAACATGGTGATTGAAAAATGTTTCTAGAAATTAAACAGCCATGAAAATAAGCACGGGCCCACTTGCCCAGGGTTTATACAAAGCAAGATAATTCTAAAGAAGTAAACTCTGATTCTTCTTCATTAAAACCTCCTCTTACACTAAAACTTTGCCACTGAAATCTGTGGGAGAAATCTTCATAAACTCATAAGGTGTTAATGCAGTAAATGAACATGACCAATAAATATTTCACGGCCAAATAAAATGTCTGCACCGCTAATAACCTGGTAAACCCATTTGTTAAAGACTGGATGACTGTGCCATTTAGACTGGATGACTGTAGCATTAGAAAAGTCACTGGCACATTAATGATACAGCTTTCAAATCCAAAAGGCTTTCTCTTCAAACTGTTTGTACCGTAAACTGCTGAGTGGAATAAGCAGTCATCTTTGTCTTGCCCTTTCCATAGATCTCCAATCACTTGGATAGGCTATACATTCTGCAAGTCCTGAATAAATGTCTAGACTACACGTGGTTTCTGATCACAAGGTTTATTTGTTTTGAAAGCCCATGAGAAATAATTTTATACCTTTAAATCATTTCTAATAGGCTCACATCCAACTTATAAAAGGCACCATATTAAATTTCACGGCTGCCAACCCGCAGATACCATAGCAAAATGAACAGTCAATTAAACATAAATAGCTTTTTTTTTTTTTAAAGGCAGGTAAAATACAATTGTGACTTTGACTATTTGCCTAGGCTCCTGATGGATAAACAGAACATTTTAAGCAGAAACAATCTGCTACTCTTCAATATGCTCAACCCCTGAGTTTCAGGAAGTGAACCCTAAAACAAAGCCAACCATTCAAGACCCTGAAACTCAGGAGGACCTCAGAGGCATGTAAAATGCACCGGCAGGCACTCATGCGCTTTACCTCAACCCTTTTTATATTGCAATTCCTGAGTCCATTTTGAAACCTTGAGATTCAACTTTTCTATAATTGAGCCTATTTCTATAATGTAGTTGAAGTGTAAAAAATAAAAATAAAATATTTATTTTGTTAGAAAAAAAATCTGGTGCTGCTGATAAGCAAAGGGAAAGGAGGGGATTGAAAGAAAATTACCCTTAAGTAACCAGATAATTAGGCCAGGCATTTTTGGTTCAGGATTACATTCAAAAGAAAAGTTTTAAGGAACTAACTGAAGTTCTTTACACAGATGAAATTTCAATTTTAATAAACAAATTATTTTAGATTTTAATTTGAGAAGACATTATCTAACATTGTCTTCAGAATTTCCCTAATTCTCCTAAGAGCCAAATTGTGAGACAAGAAGAAATAGACTAATGCTGTTCTTTGTGCTTTCAATGAAAGAAAACCTTTTGAGGAATTTAATCCTTTCTGCAAATAAATGATGCTGTGCTAATTGCTACTCCAAATAACGAGAAAAGTAAATTTTTATGTATTATAACAGAACAGCAGTTTTAAAAACCTCTATTCAAATTAACTGCACATTTCTACTCGAAACCATTATGTGATTGAATAAGTGGGGGGTCAGAGATAATTTGAAGTTTAAGATGTAATATGGGCTCAAAATTGTGAGGCAGAGTAATAACTAATATGATGCGGTCAAGTACCATAAAAAGCACAGCTCTTTCCAAAAGCACATAGTAAAAAAAAATATATTCTCCTTGTTTAAATCAAAACATGATTGCTCTTGTCTTTAGTTCTAAAATGCTTGTGCAGTGCCACGACACAGTTTATAAACTGACTTAAATGTGAGGTCAAATTGGCATAAAATGTGACTAAGATTTTGTGACAAGAGATACGTTTTCTCAAGAGGAATTACAACACTCAAAACCCCCAGGGTTAAAATTTCTACTCACAGGATGCACAGTTCTACATTGATTTAGGACAAATGGACAATATTTGCTTTGGAGAGGACACATTATTTGTGGCTGAGTGCCCTGTCTTTGTGTCTCTGCCTGGTGCTGATCCTTCTCTAGCTACTGTGTACCACACATCCTCAGTGGTAAACACCAAGGAAGCTATGTAGAGATGTGTGTCCAGTGAGTACTGGCATAAACCTTATGCTAATAGTATTATCAGCAGAGGGAACAGAAAATGGTATGTGTAACACTGTAACCAGCCAAGCCACAGTTCATTATCTGGTTTGCTTAAAGGTAATCTCCTCACTTGAGACACAAGGCAAAAAGGGATCCTGGATCAAGGACCCTTATAGCATTTACAGAACCACCACGCCAACCAACAATGTAGTAGCTAAGGGGGCAGCATGGGAAAGATTGGCCATGGCAAGCTTTAATGACTATGAATTAAAGTTTAAAAAAAAATCATTGGGAACTTGCGAATACATTCCACTGAATTATACCTGATTTCCCAGGAAGAACTGATAAAAAAAAATGAAAAATGGAAGAAAGATATAATTAGTTCAACAGGAAAGTTTCTATATGGCTCTAGAATACACACACTCTCACACTCAGGGCTTCTAGAGATAGTATGTAGTTTAGAGATGTGCAGGTATCCAATTTCAACCCCAATAATCAGAAAATTCCCTATGTAAATTAAATTCCCTATTTAAACTAAAAATTCCAATACTTAGACGAATATTTTTCAATGTGGAAATATAAATACATAAATAAACATGAATAACGTTTCATTTGTAAGTAACATACTGTATTAGGGATATCTGGCACATTTTCTTTCTAGCTACTACATATCAGAGGTGTTCCAAAAATGAGAAAGAGTGATGAAGTCACGTTGGTCTTCAAGTAATTGCTTTGAGGAAGGTGAACCAAGGTATCGAGATACTGAATAAAAGGGAATATTACCGTACAAGTGGGAAACATTGCCTCTTTTTCATTTTATAAAATTAGACAACATTTTTAATTTTGTGGTTCTAGCTTGGAATAGCTTTATTATTGGAAAGATGAAAACTTACCTGTAATCATATAAAATAGGTTATCTACATAAATAAAATCCTAAGTGACCGTTCCACCTGTCACTATGACATGCACTGACCACCAGAGGGCATTCAATGCAAGAGCTGCCCCCTGGTGGTCAGTGTGCTCCCACAGCAGGAACACTGCTCAGCGGACCAAAGGGCTTCAGACACCGGGCTCATGGCTGGTGAGCACAGCTGTGGCCCTGTGAACCTCTCCCCTGTGCACCCCTCCCCCATCCAGACTAGGCCCGGGATCAGGACCAGGATTGGGACCGGCATTGGGAATAACTGGGCATGAGACCACAGCTGCTTCTCAGTCATGGGCACACCAGCACTGTCCTAGGATGCGTGTGCAGAGACCTCAGTGGAGCAGCAGCGAGCCTACTGAGCGGAGGCTGTGGCAGTTGCAGTGGAGCTGGAATGAGCAGGAGCAATGTAGTGCCAGGCCCAGGCTTGGGCTTCTGGGCGGCCATGTGCCGCTTCACACACTATTACATCCATTGGGGGAGATTGGACTGCTGGTCTCAGACCAATGCCCTTAGGCCACACAGAGGGACCCCACCGGTGCACGAATCCATGCACTGGGCCTTTCATAAAGTCATATGAAGCAACATAAATATAAGTAATGTGTTTTTCTGCAAATATTTTTCTCCTTAAAGGGAATGTTAAACATATGTCCTTAAATAAAAAAATGCAGGCTATTTTTATGTAATTTAAAATGATGAGAGTTAGTCATATACCATTTAATTTTTATATGAGGTAAAAATAAATAATTAGCACTCCTGGAAAACAATGCAGATCAAATTACAAACAAATTTCGGGTTGTACCCTTTAAAAGTACTACAAAGTGACTTTGAAAACTTACCCTGTATTTGTTGTCTCCAATCTGTTCAACTTGAAATCGTTTTGCACATTTACACTTAGCTACCTGCCTCGTCACCTGCCAAAAACAATGAAGAGATATCCACTTTAATGTTAGCATTACATAATGAATGCTTAAAACCCTGACCAACCACTAAACATGGAAATCAGTAAAAGGGCTGCATGCATGGCGCCTGAGATCTGGCAGGCATGTTGCTGCGAGCTATGGAAAGATAGTGAGTACCTCATCTTCGATCTTGTCAGCATCGGTGACAGGTTTATATGCATCCTTATTTGGGTGAAGGGCGGCTACAAATTCATAGTAGTCGATGTAGCCATCGCCGTCTCTGTCGAAGATGTCCGCAACTGCGCTCATCTCCAGGCGGCTGGTGGGGAACTCTACGTATTTTCAAAACAACGGCAAGTCGTGTTACTTACTTAACAAGGTTGTAAGATATTTACAATGCACATCGTAGTCACTTGATATCTGTACATATCAGGGAAAGAATTCCTCTACCTGGTTAATTAACATACCTATCACCTCACGGACGTGTTTATCTTTTATGTGTGTGAGAGAGAGCATTTCAGGACCACTCTCAATTATGCAATACTGTGTCAGCAACTATAGTCACCATGTCACACGTGAGGTCCTCAGGCCTTATTCATCTTACAGCTGAAAGTCTGCCTCCTTTCACCAACCTCCAACCTGGCACCCACTCGTCTGTTTATAATATGAGTTTGACTCCTTATTTAGATTCCACATGCAAGTGACAGTTAAGGTACTCTGTTATAAGCCACACAATATTCCCAATTAAACTTTATAAGACCTGCTCCTTACTATAACGCTTTATAAAAAGACTTGTCTTTAAATTCTCAGTTGTACATTTTAATTTTAATGTGGTTGATTAAATTACCAGGGTCATAAAATATATTAAAATCCCTTTTAAAAAACTGATTTATATAATAACAAATGAAATCACACACACAAACTAAAGTTATCTTTAATTACTACTAGGGTGAATTGTTTGAAATTGCTATTTTTCTAGGTTGATAACTGTTTAATATTAGCAAATTTCAAATGTTTCAACTACCACTTTCCTTAAGGAATAATTTGTATGAAATTTACTTGAAGCATGACTTCCAGTAATATGTGCCAGAGCTATCACATACACATGACCGAACCATCAAACAAGGGGATGATGTGTGCCTTCCGAAGTTTATATGAAAGCGTTCTAATTTCCTCCTAGTGATAATGTTAGATCAGAATGTCAATCAGAAAGGAAAGGAAGAGAAACTGGCTTGCTAGCTTCCACTATGCCAGGCAACACAAACAATCTAAGAATCAAAGTTTATTAACGTTATTGTACTCCTGAGGGCACAGCTTCAGTGGTGTGAGGAAACACAATTAGTTAAGGGTGTGTGACTCCAAAGTCATAAATTTTACAAATTTTACAAAGACACTTTTCTTTTTTTGAGTGGTGACTTCATAGCCAAGTTTAAAGGCAAAGCTTTATGGGTAACACGAGTTTACTGGCCCCACAATTTAAAACTGTGCTTGTTTTCTTTAAAAATTACACCCATTTCGGTCACTCCTCTTGGGACTTACTTGAGGAAAGAATGCCATCAATAAATTCTTGTCGGGTTATTTTCCCGTCCTGGTCTTTATCAATTCTCCTGAAGAAGTCCATCACCCGAGATTTCTTGTGGTTCATCCATCGCATGTATTTTTTGCGCCAGATATCAAAATCAAAGTTGGCAAATTCCCTCAGCTGAAAAGGGCAGAAGATATTTGGGGGTAGTTAATGCTGTGCTCAAGCTATAGCTTCTATGAAGAAAGTTATTTTTAATGAGCCTCTAGATATACAGGTATCTTTCCCACTTCAAGGAAGGTATAATCTTACAAAGGAGACAAAGAAAAAAAACAAAACAAAACCAAAAACCTTTTCCTATAAAGTTTATTTCATTACTTGTCACTGTGGTCATTCTGGCTTTTCTTTACAAATACAGGGGGAAATAAAACTCCCCAAAACAGTCATACTGAAAATTCCTGACAGAGCCACTGGGCAACAGGCCCAGCTCGGCAGCACAACTCACTCTCCGCAGTTGGCACTCCCCTAGACTGCTAACAATGCCCCAGTTTCACAATGAACTCTAACGCCCAGATCAAAGAATGAATAGAAGGAAAATAGCTGAATTATAAATGGTTATATTTGCCAGTGAGTACCACCAAGCAAACCTATGTCAAGCTAGATCTTGTGTGGGTTTTTAAAAATCCTCACCACTGATGAGTTGCCTCCCGTAGCAATCGATCCTGCAACCTTTTGGCACAGGGGGTGATGTTCCAACCAACGGAACCACCCAGCCCTGGGTGAGACCTTTTCTTGAGTCAGTTTCAGATTATGTTAAGACATATTAGTTTTTCACCTTATTGCTTCCCTAACTCCCAGTTCCACATATCACATCCCCCGCGTCCAACAAAAATGTACATACTTGTGGTATTAATTTTAAAAGTAAAACACACACTCAAATTGCAAGAGCTCGCTGACGTATTATCAGGAAAGTTGAAAAATCAAGGCGTCGGCCATGTGTCCCGGTAATAAAAAGAGGAAATGACAATAGAGTGGGGAGTATACATGCGAGTGTTCTAACCTCCTCCAGTCTGTCCAAGGCGTCATTGAGCTTCCTCCTCCTTTCCAACGCCAGGAGCCAGACCTGCTGCCATTTGCTCACCAGTAAGTTGACCCTGGGATTCTTGGTTTCAATTTGTGTCTGTGACCCAGAGGGGTATAAGTTGGAGGCTGGGAAGCGTTTTCCTGTCAAAATAAAACTTGAGTTAGGACACGGCAGTTTCCAGGCTTCTGGGATATGATAAGGTTTGACCTTTGTCTGTTCCTAGCTAAGGCTGAATCAACTTCCTCATTGGGTAGCATAGCTAGAAATACCCTGTTTAGATGATGCCTCTTATAAAGGGCGGGTGCATTTAAGTACTGGAAAGCTCTCTTAATGAATGGATGCTTAAGACATTTTTTTTGAGCTTCAAACTCATGCCACTTCAATGAGAATGAAGTACGCTGTGACCTTCCTCTTTGTTAAGGCATCTCTTTGTTAAGGCATGATAACAGAAATCTCCCAGGGTGGCGAGAGTAGTCAGAATCAGTTACATAAACCTAGTTGCCCTTTGCAGAGAATAAGGCTGAAAGCAGGACAGGGGAGGGCAAATGAGGGCAAGAATACGGGGCATCCATTGGAGTCAGAATGAGACACTGGACAATTCCAGTCCAATGTGGAAGTAGGACACTCGCTTGCACCCAGGTCCATTTCCCACTGACACTGGTTCCCAGGCCTAGCCTCACACACAACTTGCCGCCTCACTGAAGTTGGCTCCCTTTCTGGCTATTTTTTCACCAATGTCTACAACTTCACCGAACAATTGTCTCAACACGTTTTCCTCACTCACTAAATAGTTAACTGTGGCTTAGAAAAATTACTGTGGCTTAAGGTCATATAGGAAGCTGCTGTCCATCTGGGATTTGCCCAGAATTCCTAACTCCCATAGGGCTTTACACATGTCAGAATATCAATAGCTAATATTTATGAAGCATTTAACTATATGCCAGAAAGTGTGCTAAGCACTTGACAAACATTAGCACACTTAATCCTCACCACAGTCCAATAAGGTTACAATTATCCCCTTTTACAGATGAGAACACTGAGACTAAGAGAGAGAGAGAGAATTCAGTAACTTGGTGAAGGTTACATTTCCCAGTTGGTGAGTGATGTGGACAGATAGGGAGTCTGTCTCCAGAGTTCTTAACCACTTTGTTGCTTTGCCTCCTTGTGAAATACAGTAACTACAATAGATCTGAAACCATGTTTTGTTTTGTTTTGTTTTTTATCATAGCACCATTCAGAAATATACACATAAATGATATAAATCGTGCTTTTTAAAAATCTTCTCCAAGCTAGCTATTTTTTTTTTTTTTTTTAAATATCACTTCATTGGGTCAGGGTAGCCTACAGTTATACGAACATGGGCAAAAGTCTATCAGATTGCTGGTCACTACTGAACAGTTATGTCAAGAACTTTATCCAGGTCACAGCCATTTATTTCTGTTCCATTCAACTCTAAGGTTATTTCTATAACAGAAGCAAAACGAGAAGATTCAAAGGGGCTGATGATTTCAGTTCTTCTTGCAAACTTTTCAATTTCTTCTAGCTAATTGAAAAGACAGACTTCAAGCCAATGAACTTGTATACTGTGACCTGGATGTGTCTTTTTCTTTATTTTTAAACAGGTGGCTATGAAACTTGAGCCCATGTACTCTTTCGAGAAAACCTTTTACAATAGAGAGCTCAAGTAGAATCACCAATTACTCCAAAACTTCAAACAATAAACCAAAATTAAAGACAACCAACTTCCTTGCTTAACCATCGAACTTGGCCACGGCTTACTTCCTGTTCGTCCCTTATCCAAGACGGGGATGTGGGACTGCAACGAGGAAGGATCCGCCGCTCTCCTCTTGTAGGTCTTGGTAACTTTATCCACATCAGGCTGCTTCCTGGTCATTTCCTCCATGAAGGTCTGAAATACAAGCATCAATATCAACTAAACACAGAGAAAGCCACCTTTAGAAACCAACTAAAAACAACAGGATAAAAGGACCACACTATTATTTCTGAAAAAACAAATAGATCATATCATGTTTTATCTTTTTTTTTTTTTGAGGGGGAGGAGAACTAAACCATCATGACATAGCATTTTCTCATTTCTAGAGACTAAATAAAATGTTATAGCTGCTAAGTAATTCCAGTATTACAAAAGCAGTTGGTTGTCATTTGAAAACCACACATGGGAGCGACTGTGTGAATAGCGGAACCTGTGTGTGCACCAGCCAGAATCAAGAGTCCACGCTCTTCAAAGGGTCTCAAAGTGAGCATTGGTCTGCAAAGGAGCTAGCTCGTTGGGGTGGCCCTTAAGACTTCTCCATGGCACACTTCACCTACACATTTAAGATGGCTGTGATATAAAGAGACAAAAAACATCCACATTAAATGGGGGATATATTTAAATATTTCTGTCAATGAGTATGGTTTGCCAAGGAGGGTAAACATTAATCAGGTTAAAGTTTATATTTAAGAGGATTGACTACCTTGCCATTTCTTATCTTGTCTCCTTAGGCTTATTATTATTGTTGACTATATGATCAATGTTTTATATATATACTTATTATTATTATATGCATTCCTCTATCTGGAGCATGTAGCAAAAGGCAGAGGCTGCTGTGAAAAATGAGGGAAGGAGGAGTCAGATGACAGTGAAAAGTGACACATTTCTGGAATATCTGTTACACTAGAGAACTCTGATCACAGAGCACATGGCCTGAGACACTGCACGGCCATGACAGTTATCTTTTTATTAAAATATAATGGCAATGTTCACTGCTTAACAACCTAAGCCAACACAACGTTTCTCTTTGTAAATTTAAATTACACTAACAAGCAAACAGATCAAGGTTAGTGTTTTGCCCATGATTTCAGAGTTTAAGATAGGCATGATATACAAGAGAAATTATTTTTTAAAATATATTCTTTCATTGATTTCAGATAGGAAGGGAGAGACAGAAACATCAGTGATGATATGGAATCATTGATTGGCTGCCTCCTGCATGGCCCCCTACTGGAGATTGAGCCTGTAACCCAAGCATGTGCCCATGACCAGAATCCGACCTGGGACCTTCAGTCTGCAGGCCGACACACTATCCACTGAGCAAAACCAGCTAGGGCGAGAAATGATTTTTTTTTTTAGTAAAACAATATATATATATATATATATATATATATATATGCGCATATTTGGAGTTCTGATGGTGGACATCTCAGGAGATGTTCAGCAGCAAACAGTAGAAAATGCAAACATGGAGCAAATGAGCCTTTGAAGGCGAGGTCAGAGAAAGAGGGAGAGAGATGAAGAGAGAGAAGAGAGAGAGGGAGGGAGAGATGGAGGAAGAGAGAGAAGAAGGGAGGGAGATAGGAAGAGAGAAGAAAGAGAGAGAGAAAAATTGAGCATATAGCTACCACTTAGAATGTGAGAGGCAGGGGGGCAGGGGTGGAGCCAATCTGAGGCAGTGCCCATGAGTGCACCTTCACCGAGGCCAAAAAGGAAAGAGTTTTGGGAAGATAACAGATAAAGAGGAGAGACCGTCAAAGTTCAGTATCTGTGAGGAGTTTTGAGGCAGTGGTAGAATTAGAAACCCAGTTGGAAAGAGTTGAAGAGTGTGTTTGAGAAATGGAAGTGAAGGTACAAAGCGATCTTTGAGCACTACAGCCGTGAAAGAAAGAAAACACCCGAGAAGACAGGGGTAGGATGGCGTTTACTTTACCTGGTGTTCTGCAATGAGGGCCTTCACTTCTTCGATTTCCTGGGGGATGGGCTCTTTGTCCTTGTCACTCAGCGTGGTTTCAGCCCACTGCAGCCAAGTCAGCAAAGCTTCCAGCAGCTCCTGTTTGGCAATGAGCCCAGCCAGGGCACTTGCTAGTCTCTGCTGATGTTGCTTTGCCCAGGCCAACACCTGGCGGGAAAATAGGAATGTCTCTGAATTTCTTCCTTCCACATTAGTGAATAATTTCAGTGTGAACTAAGATCATCCTGGGCTGGAAGTCTTTCTAGATCCCATCCGTGGTACCAAGACCCAGCTCAGGATGCCTGTCACCTTCAGAAGTTTAGAGATATATGCCAATCACCCAGATTTCTCTTTGCTCTCTAACGCACATTAAAATATGCATTCTCTGAAGGGCCATGTAGGCTTACTCCACGTAGAAATAAAAATAGTTAAGATCTTAGATACAGAATTAATGTGCTTCGTGTATGCAATTCATTCCATACGCATATACTGCTATGAAATACTATCCAACCGCTGGGTTGTTCAACAAGACACAGTGTGGAAACGAGACAGGAAGTAAGTTACACAGCGAAGCAAGTATTATTTATCTTTTCGCGTTTTAGGGATGTGGCTGCCAAATGCCTTTCCCTGTCTAAAGAAAAGTGGATTGCAGGGACGGGTGATGCTCAAGGAAAGGTATACTGCAGACATTTCTCTCTGCAGAGGCCTCAGGCTCCCATGGCTGTGAGTGCATCTTAAAAGCTGACGTTTCCACACACCCTGCCTAGCTGGCTGTCAGAGCTACCACTGCTCTGAAGATGGTTGGAGCCACACTGACCTCCTCAAACCTGGCCCGGATGATGGTTATCCAGTGCTTGATGGTGGTGATGGAGTCGGGGTGGCAGAGGGCCAGGACGGCGTCCCCCATACTGGTCGCTTTATTGAGGGCAGCTCGTTTTTCCTCCAGTTTCTTCATGAATTCCTGCAGCAGAAGCAAAAGCTTCCATTAGCTGTTGGCATGGCTGAAAACAAAACTCCAGTGACAGTCATGTGACTGGCAAAGTTCAACAAATACACAAGAACTTCAACTGGTGTCTTCACACCTGAATATGATCCACTAATTGGGGCACTAAGGGAGAAGAAGGCACAAACATAGGAAACAAAGTACTTTCTACTACATAGTTTAAAATACAGGTATATGATACTATCTCATGATTTACATTACACATTTTTAATACACAAGATACACTCTCTCCTGATTTGGGAGATACTGTAATTATAGTGTTAATGGAAAGTAGGATTGGGAGAGACAGTAATACCAAAAATAGAAATAATACTGATTGGAGAGAAAACAAACAAAAACAAACACCTAACAAATAAGACAAGGAAGATAGTATTTTAAATGGCATTAACTACGTCAGGAAAGATAGGAAAATGTACCCAAAAAGGTGCCAAGGAAGCGAGAAGGCGGGGCAAGGAGCTAGGAAAGTTGAGGGTGTGGGAGAGAAGGCACAAACATCCAGCCAGGCAGGTGTGAGAGGGAGGCTGGAGCGAGAGGGCCAGACAGCGGGCCCACAGGTACAAGCTGTCCCTCCCCTCCATGCCGGTAAGAACCGCTCTCTGCCCTAGCAGCACAGATGAGCCGCAAAATTCCAAGGAAAGGGTTTCCCATCAGCTATTTTACAAATGCCTCACATATGTAACTACTTTCTGTCACCAGAACTCTGTCCATAGATTCATGAATCAGAGAGCTCTGCAAGTGTGCTTAAGAAAATGGGGACCTCTACCCTACAACAGTAAGTTCTCACTTAACATGGCCAATAGGTTCTGAGACTTTAAGCAAAATGACACACAAAACTAATTTTATCATAGGTGAATTGATATAAACAGGCGTTAAAGTCCTATTGCCTCTCTTCAATATTATAACAAAATGTTATTGGAGGACCTACAATTTTTGTAAAAAAACAATCACTTCTGCTGCTCTGGATCCCTGCCTCCTCGTGTTCCTGGGGGGTGCCTGGTCCTGCTGGAGGGTGGTGAGACCCTCCCCAGGCCCAAGAATGTTAGAGTAACTCAGTGCTGGCTGGTGGTCAGCCTATGGAAGCACAGACTACATTTTTAAAATTCTGAACTGAATAAAGTAGTCACAGTAAATTTAATACACTTTTCGTACTCTTAGCTGAATTCTTCCATTCTAGCTTCAACTTTAAATGATGTGGGTAGCATTTCATTCCTCCAGATAATGTTATACAAACTCCCATCACTTTTATTAATGACAAGGCAGTATTTCATGACTATAGGTTACACCAGGCATCATTGAGAGAGCACAATAATTAAAATAAGAAGTCTCCATAGATGATGTAACCCATTAGAATTGATGATGTATTTCTAATTTGACCTTGGAAGGCAGGGTTACCCAGTGGTCAAACAGATCCTTTAAAGGTAACAGGAATCCTGACATCAATATAACACTGAGTGCTAGCATTACAAAGTCCTGGTAGTTAGAATCAAAGGTTAAAGAAACCCAAACATCTGTTAAGAGCTATCTGAACTACTCTCCTAAGGGTTTTGCTAGTTCTACGCATTATCACAGGAAGATCTTGATCTGAACCTCAACGGCCAGATTTTTATTTTATTATTTAATAATATGTCTACTTACATAATTCCTTTATCAACTTATAATTTATCCTAGAGTTACTTAAAAAAGAATTTAAGGTGGCCCTTGATTAAAAACAGATTGGCAGAGGCTTAAAAAATGAAATTTGAAGACCAATTATTAAATTACTTGCTTGTCTTGAATGTCAAAATTATTAATGTACAATTCTAATGGGATACTTATGCCAAACTGCTCATTAAGGAAACCTCATCTTTAAAATGCACATAAGAGTGCAACAAAATTGACCAGTTTTGGTCAGATACCAAATAACCCCCTAGAAAAAATCAATAAGCTTCCTAAAGATAAAAAAATTCGAGTGACTAATTTTAGAATAACCACCTTCTTTATAAAGGAAACAAAAGGATAGCTATACATACCTGTGTATAGGTGCATAGGACACACCTGTGCAAGTATGGAGGACACAGGTGAATTCTCAAATGTACTACATCTTTAACTAGTTCTTGGGAGGGAAAACATTAATGCAACTGACATTTGCAATCACGAGTCCATTTTCTTTACTTTGTTTGATTTCCTCATTCAGTTTGACTTAGCATTTACGTAACTCACTTTATGCTGATCAATGAGGGTCCGAAGAGCATCCTCGTCCTCCGGCAAGACGCCATGGAAACGAAGGGTTTGCTCCGCCTCGGCCAGCCACTCCAGCAGGGCGTGCACCACCGAGTGGAATTCCTCCGCCTACAGGTTCACACAGACACACGCACCCCAAACAAGAGTTCCAAATATGCTTAGTACAGTTTATTCTTCCTCTCAATGAAAAAAAAAAGTTTTCTATTTAAATTGATTAATCATATGCACTGTCCCCATTAAGAAGATAAAGCTAGATGGTGCTGCATTTTACAAATGTAAGGAAGCATCTAATATATAAAAAGGCCTACGGCCCTAGCTGCTTTGGCTCAGTGGATAGAGTGTCGGCCTGAGGATTGAAGGGTTCCGGGTTCGATTCCAGTCAAGGGTAAATGCCCAGGTTGCAGGCTCGATCCCCAGTAGGGGATGTGCAGGAGGCAGCCAATCAATGATTCGCTCTCATTGTTGATATTTCTATCTCTCCATCCCTTCCCCTTCCTCTCTGAAATCAATAAAAATATATTTTTAAAAAATTAAAAAGGCCTTTATATGAAGAATGACTCACTATTCTAACAATCTGGTTTTAGATGAATGGCAGCCCATCTTATACTCGGGCTGAAAAATTACTCAAGCAGCACACTTATGGGAAGATTAGGAAACCTCCCTTGGAAGTAATTTACATTTTTGGTGGAAAGACACCGAGGGGCTGCGGGGGGGTAGGGGGGGGTGGAGTAGGGGGAGGACCCAGGCACTGATGCTCTAAGAATATCCTTCTCCATGATGGTCTTGGTTAAGAAATGGGTAGCTCTGATGGAGGCCCCAATACCTTCTCCCTACACCTGCTGTAAGTACATAATGTTTACCTGGCGCAGAGCTGCTTCTAACCGTGTTTGCTTCGACACAGACAGTGCACACACGGTCTCCCAGCGTGTGCTCAGTTCCTGCATCTGGACCCGGACCCAGGAGGAGTCGTCCCGGCTGCCTTCGATGAGCTCCCGGGCCGAGCGCTTCAGGGCCTGCACGCTGCTGGTTCTCTTCCCCAGCTCCTTTTGGAAGGCCTAAAGAAAACCATGTTCTTATAGGCGTTACTGCTTAATTACAAAACCCAAACAGTAAAACATAGTTTCCAATATATGTGCGCAAACAATCACATCACGGAGAGATCTCTGAGACGTGGCATTGTTCACAGAATCCGTCAGAGCATCGTTACGGCCAGTCTCGTATCTGAGACACAGACAGCGGACTGCTGGCTGCCAGTGGAGAGGCCAGCCTGGAAGGTGGTTGGAAAAAAGGCGAAGGGATTACCAAGTACAAACTGGCAGCTACGAAACAGTCATGGGGATGTAAAGTACGGCATAGGGAATATAGTCAGTAATATTGTAGTAACTACGTATGGTCCAGGTGGATACTAGAAATATTGGGGGAACACTCTGTAAAGTATATGACTGTGTAGCCACCAAGCTATATACCTCAAACTAATACAAAATAATATGGAATGAAAACTGTAACTGAAAAATAACATGTCAGTTGTTTTTTTTTAAATAGCAGTCTTGTGTAAATTGGTTCATTCTTGTAACATTCTTCTGAATGAACCACCCTATTTTTCTAAATGACACATTGGATGCAAATAATGGTGACCACCCTTTATTTCAATTCCACAAAACAATGCATCACGTTCCATCTTCTCTATGATTCCTTAAAATGGTGTCTCGATTCCTCTCAAATCATTACTGAGTACCAAGTGTGTGTTGGCTACCACACGACTCTTACTTAGTGTAAACAAATGAAAGAGACTAACAAGTAACGAAGGAATCCTGGGGTACATCATGGAATCCTTCATGACAATGGCAGGAAATCTCATGGAAAGCTGGCGTGTAGTCCCTTTTCTCTGTAGCATGCCTTCATCTTTTCCAGCACCCTGAATACTACTAACCCACAACGTCAAATTTCATTAGCTTAAATCCTTGTCACTTTGGAGTAAAAACTTTTTGGTTTTTGCTTCCATCTAATTCAGGTGAACTCTGATGAGCCAGGAGTTAATTTGGCTTCTTTTGGCCACAGTCTTCATCAAAAAATGAGCCCAGGGTTCTTTAACTCTGATACAAGAGTCTGTTTATAAGACTAGATCTTTTAAAGAGCCAACTTTATGTAGAGAACAATATTATCTTATCTTTCTTTAAAAAAATGATCACAAATATTGCCAAGTACATTTTATCACTATTGCTGTATCCATGGCTTTCTATTTTGGTACTCGGATCATTCATAAAAGAGAGCCCATTAAAACCAGTGATGAATTCTTTGCTGATTTCCTTCGAATAGTGTTAAACAAGATGTACCTGCAAATAGATATGCACACACACATGCATGGGTGCACACATGTACACACACACACACACACACACAAACACACACGCATAGATGGGACAGTGTCTCAACATTCTTGTGATACGATAGTCCAATAGATCTGAGTAGACTTTCCAATGTACTCTGTATACTTAAATTTCTTGAGCCTTCCAATTGTATTACTAATGCTGGATGATTAATTCGTTCTTGATGACCTTTAATATATAAAAAACCTGGCAAGTGCCTAGGGGAGTAAATGTTTAGACAGTGAGCTTACAAAAATGGTATTTATGTAAAAAGTAACATTACACTATTCATTACTCATTGAATGGCTGCCAGGGAATGGAAAGGTTTATATTAATCATGCACAAAACATTTGTTTTAATATAGGCGAGGCAACGTAATTCTTTAAATTTTTTATTTGTGTGGGCCTGATCAATGTTCTTCATTTATTCTTTTATTTTTTAATATTCAAAATAAACTCTCCTTTATTGAAATAATGAGATAATAGAGCCAGAAAAGGGGAACTAAATATGCAAAAGGACCAGCTGTTTAAGAAAATAGATAAGATCAAAAGAGCATAACCAGGGAAGATAAAGAGAGCATTTTTAAATGAAATAAATTTTCTGAACTCAAAAAGGATGAGGGAAATACAACATGAATTCAAATAGTGCTGTAAGATATCTTTATATAAATTAAACTCAGACATAATCCTTCTACATTAATATAGTACCTCATGTTGTTTTTAAACTCTTTAAGTTGTAATAGCATTTGATCATAATTTAGAACCTTACACTCAATTATCAGCTGGAGGTCTCAAATATGACCTTTGATTTGCACAGTTTAACATACATATCAGATGATTTTCAAGGAAACCAATGTTTTTGAAATAATAATCAAATCCCTCAGCATATGAGGTTATCTCATAAGTTGCTGTAGTTCAAGAGCAAGGTTAAAACGTTTTTTTAAAAAAAGAAAAGCTGACCATGACCCCATAGATCATGTCACATTATCTATCCACTTATGCAATGATCAAGTTCCAGGTCACTCAATGAATGTTCTTAAATTACATTACATAATTATTTAAATTAATAAAAAAAAAAAAGATAGTAAAACATTCTTGAAACATTTATTAAAGCACCAGCGAATGAAATTAACTTTCCAAGTTCTAAAAGGTCTTGGATCTGGAAATTAAAAACAAAAGTATTTCACTTTCATTGACACTAAAATGATTTTCTTACACCATCTTTAAAGTTGGCTTCCTGGTTCTGCTCAGCTGCACATACACCTCAGTATTAAAGACTGTTATGGAGCATGTTACATAGTATCTACGATTTTAAAAGGCTACGTGGAAACAGTTTGTTCTCTACCCAGAATAATCATAATGAAATGAATAAAATGACCCAGATCACAATACCTTGTGATTATCGATCAGATTCATCACTAAATCAATGTCTCCATGGACAGGCTGGTCTTCTGCCAGCTGGGGCTCCACTCTGTATAACCAATCAATGAGGGCCTGCAGGGCATCTGTGAATTGTCCGGAAAATAATAGCGCTTCCTCCAATTTGTTTTGTCTGGGGGGTAGGCGGGAGAAGAATCAATCCAAGCAACAAAAAAGCCAGCCTGTATATCCTAACAGCTAAAATGTATTGAAGTTTGAGCCAAACTCAGAGGAAAAAAACAATGTATTGGTATTCTCTGCTGTTTCTTTGCTTCCCTTAAAACACAAAAACAACACTTTTCTCAAGCATTCTCTTTCATTCCTTAAATGCATGGCACTGTCCCAGGAAAATTCCTTCATCATCACCTCTGGAAGCCACAGACCCTTTCATTTCTTCATGAAAGTATGGTTTTTAAAAATATTTTTTTATTGATTTTAGAGAGGAAGGAAGAGGGAGAGAGAGATAGAGACATCAATGATGAGAATCATTGATTGGCTGCCTCCTGCACGCCCTCCCACCCCCCACTGGGGATTGAGCTCACAACCCAGGCATGTGCCCTTGACCAGAATTGAACCTGGGACCCTTCGGTCCACAGGTCAACGCTCTATCCACCGAGCCAAACCGACTAGGGCGAAAGTATAGCTTTTTAACAAAAACAATTTTTTTTTTTAAATTTATGTTCTAAATTATCATACAGTAAAATGGAGGGTTTTTGGATATATGGTTCTGTGAACTTTAACACATGTATAGATAGATCCATGTAATAATTATCATTATATCCAGGATACAGAACAGTTCTATCACCCCAAAGTCTCTCTGTGCTGCTTCTGTATAGTCTCAGTCTACCCCCATCTCTAACCCTGGCATTGACGGATCTGTCTGCCATAACTGATCTTTTGTATTCTCAAGAATGTCATATAAAAGAAATCATTTATCTGACTATATGGCATTGTATAAAGCATGACCTTTTGAGATTGGAGAAGATTTTTAAATTTTTTAGAAAAACACAAAAATATTACTGTGAAGTTCCCTAGAATGGAATAAAATACTCTCTTTTATCTTGATACTGACAAAAGCAATTTGACTAAGATCAATGAAAACTTTGAAAACATTTCTAATATATTTCAACTCTTTCAGTATATTGTTTTTTCTTAAAAATTCTGGGCCTTTGCCCAGCTGTCATGGCTCAGTGGTTGAGCCCCGTCGATTTATGAATCAGGAGGTCAAGGTTCAATTCCCAGTCAGGGTACATGCCCAGGTACCTCCGGCTCAACCCCCAGTAGGGGGCATGTGAAGGAGGCAGCCCGATCACTGATTCTCATCAATGATGTTACTATTCCCCTCCTCTCTCTGGTCAATAAAAATATATTTTTTAAAAATTTGGGGGGTGGGGGGGACTTCATGTTGAAGTGTAATGAGAAAGGGAAAGATTAAAAAGGGATGGATGGAAGTTGGAGGGGAACACAGGGATGAGATCAGTAGATCTTGCCCAATAAGAGTCTATATTTTAGTTCACACCAACATTAAGTCCCTTAAGGGCATGAAACAGAGGATGATCAGCTTCCACTTACTTTTAAAAAGACTACCTAGTGGTTTTGTAGAAATTGGACTAAGGAGGACAAAAGAAGACCTGAAAGATCAGTCAAGTGTTAGATGACAGAAGTTTGGGGAATGTTATAAGTTTTGAGTGAATTGGCTACTTAAAAACAATCGTGATGATTAGCAAAGCCTTCTCAGTGCAGACACTGTGCGAGGGGGGGACTAAGGACCAGAGACGTTTCCCAGGCGACGGACATATTTCAGGTTCCGAAAATGTCCCTGCAAAGTACAGCTTTTGTGTATCTGAAAGAAGTCTATAAAGTGACCAAATGTTTGGTTCATTAAAGAACATCTCACCTTTCCACAGACTTTCCACAGATAGTGTCCCACTTGTCTCGGAGCTCACTCAGCATGTCATCCAGTTTCAGGTTGTCATCAGCCAGGGAGGTTTTCTCCTTCAGAGAACGCCCAGTTCTGTTGGTGGTGTCGTACACAGAATGCTTGGCTCCAAGGGATTTCTGAAACTCCTAGATGTCAAACAAGGATACGGTGTGCATTTATACTTGGGATTAATACACAAATGGGTAAGAGACATTAAAAGAGGCATCCTATATAAGAAAAGGCTAATATGCAAAATCAACTGAACGGTGGAACGACCAGTCGCTATGATGTGCACTGACCACCAGGGGGCAGATGCTTAATACAGGAGTTGCCCTAATGGTCAAACTACTTTCACAGGCTCATGGCTGGTGATACAGCAGTGGTGGTGGGAGCCTCTCCCGACCCTACAGCAATGCTAAGGGTGTTTGACTGATGGCTTAGGCCCTCTTGAGTGGGCCTAAGCCATCAATCGGACATCCCCCGAAGTCTCCTGGACTGTGAGAGGGTGCTTTTTGTGGGGTTTAAAACATTTAACAAATTTTGTACACCAGGCCTCTAGTCTCTAATAAATGGGTCTAACCATTGCAAGATATCAGCAAATAATCAAGTCAAACAGTTCAGTGCTGTACTCGACACAGGAACACATCAGGATAGAAATAATCTTTACATTTTCAAATTATCTTTCTCAGAAGCCAGGTGTCTCCTAGAGCACTTACTACTATAAAGGAAGTAATTTAAAAACAAATCCCAAATCTTTTATAGCTATATACTATAAACAGTATGCTAGTTATGATACCACAAAATTGCTAATAAACTATTGAAAATCCCATGGTTTAGGAAGGAAAATGTAGTTAACATTCCATGAGTAACTATCGGTCCAGTAAGGACATGGAGGGACTCAATACTGTATAAATTTATGAGTGTTTTGCCAAACATTTTTTTGGCACACATTTCCTATATTCACGATTTACATGTAATTTTATCTGTGAACTGGGGCGAGGGACAAAAAAGAACCACACCGTTAGGTCCCTATGTTTGGGAGGCCTACACCCCTCCTCTCCACCTCTATACTGACCTACCAAAGTCTCAAAAGAGCTACAGATTACTCTTCCAAGTACCAAATAGCTATCCTGCTAACACGACCTCCATGATGTGATACTTCATTTGTGTGTGCGTGCAGGAGGGGTGAATTCTATTCTTTCTACACATTTCAATTATAAGCCTTTCTGCAGCAGCGATATTGTCTTTGTAAGCCTCTCATTATCAGGTTATATTTTCTGTGTGTGTTTATAGAATGTAACAGAAAGAATGGGCCAACTGCTATTGAATACATAATCCCAGGGATGAGAAGAAAGCAAGGTCAACTGAATAGTCAGCTTACAAGCTCATAAACTATCATGAGAACACTTAATGTAGTGATTCTCAATCCTGGAAGCACATTGGAATCACCCCAGATAGTAAAATGCTATACAAATGTATAATTTTCCAAAATAACCTCAGTTAAAATTACCTAATAAGTTTTTATTGCCTTTAAAAGCGAGACACTTTAAGTGTCTTTTAATGACTAAGATATTTATTTTGTCTTGTAAAAAAGGAAGCAACTACATCTGGGAAATTTTTTAACAATGAGAACAATTACAGTATCACACTATTTCTGCCGTTCTCTGTACATATTATCTTCATGTTATTCTAAACAGAATGCTAGTTTTAGAAGCATGGTATTGACAGATCTCTTTCACATAGCGAATACACAACAAATGTTATACTGAATACAGGGCAGGTTAAAACTCTTTAAAGACAAAAAGTACCCAAATAATGAACAGAAAAGACTTCTTTTAAAATTGGCTTAATGAACCTTGTATCTTTAGCTCAAAGAAATGGTGATTGTGGCAATAGATCACAGTAGGGAAACACAGGATTCTTTGCATATTTTTATTTCTAGAATTTTCTAATTTAAATATTCAGTAGACTTTCATAAGACTACATGACACAACATCTACAATCAAGTTCAGATAAGACATTCTACATTGAGAAGGAGGTTCTCGTTTTTCCATTAGAGGGGGAAGGAAGGAAGATGCAGCTCACCGTCACTGTGCTGCCAGTATTACATGTGGTAGCTCAGGGACATAGGCCACCAGCAGGACAAGCCATTCATAAGCCCTCATCTCGCCAAAACAGATGCTCGATGTGTTTCCTTCCATCTTCCTAGGATCGTGACCCTCCAAGGTAAGTGGATTCACTAATGGAAGCAACCATCTAGAATTTTCTGATGATGACCTTCCATTGCCCCATATTTTTTTCAATCCTTTTATAAATGATCATGTTTCAAGCAATGACTTATATGTAGATACCTAAAACTGTGCAACTATTTTCAGGAACCACTGCCCTTTACCCACATCCTCACTCTGAGTGCTGATGATCAAAAAGAATGACAGAAGGAGTCAAACTCAACAGATTTGAGAAGGATGGGGAAACGTACTTTGAATGCCATGTGATAGGAACAGAAAAGGTAGAAAATATAAAATGCAATGTCTCTAGATCTTACACAAGGAAGCCACTGACTGTGTTTCCTTGAGGGTTAGGATGGAGTTTCATATACCCACACATACACATTGTAGAAGGAACCAATTTTCCCCAATGCACTTGTTAAAAAGAAATTTACATTAGCCGAAACCGGTTTGGCTCAGTGGTAGAGCGTCCGTCTGCAGACTGAAAGGTCCCAGGTTCGATTCCGGTCAAGGGCATGTACCTTGGTTGTGGGCACATCCCCAGTAGGGGGTGTGCAAGAGGCAGCTGGTCGATGTTTCTCTCTCATCAACGTTTCTAGCTCTCTATCTCTCTCCCTTCCTCTCTGTAAAAAATCAATAAAATATATTTAAAAAAAAAAAAGAAATTTACATTAATTTTTACTATAGAATTATCTTCTACATGGCTTATGATAGGAAATACAAGATAAGACAATTGTGATAAAATTGAAATGCCAATGTTTTAACCTCCACAAAACCCTTATATGTTTTAGGTTGTGGAAGAATTCCAGTTTTAATTTTGTCTGTTTTCTTTTACCTAGGTCATAATGAAATGGACCAATGTGAAGGGGAATTGTTTTAAATTTCATGTAGTTCACATTGAACAACCTTTCTCTCCTCCAGGGATAAATAAATGTAAAGCCAGCTAAGAAATGAAAAGTAATCTTGAAATATATAAAGACATACTATGCTTTTTTTTTTTTTAATCCTCACCTGAGGACATGTTGTTGTGTGTTTTTTCATTATTGATTTTTAGAGCAAAAGGAAGGGAGAGAAAAAGAAAAACACCGATGTGAGAGAGAAAAACTTTGATTGGTTGCCTCCAGTACACTTCCAGACCCAGATCGGGGATCTAACCCATAACATAGGTATATGCCATAATCAGGCAATCTTTTGGTGTACTGGATTGACGCTCCAACCAGCTGAGCCTCTCAGCCAGGGCACCAAATGCTTTTCCTAACTGGAGACTCACCTTATGCTGCGAGAGTTGTGTCTTTAGTTTGTCTGGATCGTTGGCAATTTCCAGTTCAGAATCCAAAGACTTTTCTGACTCCTCTAGCCACTCCATAAGTTTAGTCCAAGCTTCATGGAACTGTGAAGAAATTCATATTTTGTCCAGGAAACTTTCACGACACACTATATTTAAAATCTAGTATTTATTTAAAATAGAAATTAACGTTAATGGAAATGTTGAAAATTATTAATTCAACAATTTCCCAGAGGAAGAAAACAGCAGTAGTCTCAACAGCAGATTACAAACTGTCTAGTTTACACTTGGCATGTGTGGTCCTGTCCATTGTCACTTTGTTATAATTCATTCAAGCACACAAAGTTTAACAAAAACAGATATGTTAGAAAGCATCAGGGAAAACTTCCCTCCCTTTCTTTTTCTTAGTTAACATCAACTCAGAGAATTTTATTTGCTTACTGCTGTCTCTTGACATTCCTGGGTTGACTTCTAAGGTGTTTAACTCTTATTTTAAGAAAAGGAATAAAACGGGAGAGAGAGGATAAAGTTTGTAAACTGGCTTTAAAATGTAATAAGAACAAAAAGAGGTCATTTCATTCCTGTTTGATACAAAGATAGCTGAACATCTTTATTTTTGCTATCAAAATCCTTAACTTAATATCCGTGCCTCAAGAAATTGGTTTGGTATGTAAGAGCACCCATAGTACTTGAGTTCTAACAAAATCTAATTCTCTTTGTCATTGACCTTGAAATAATCTGGTGCTACATATATTTCATTTCACCCACAGTCTGTTTTCTGTTTATTCCTGAGAACTAGTGGGTACTATTTTTGGAGACCAAGTTGTGAAAATGGTTATAAATTATGTCTCATAATAAAGTTAAGTGAACAGATACATAGTAAAGACTTAGGTAATCAAAATAAAATGTGTTTTATATCAAAGCACATTAATAATGGAATAGCAAAAAGACACTTTTTACCAAAACAGCACAATAAGAGCACGGAATCACAAAGCTGCAAGGGCCCCTTGGAGATCATCTCATCAAACCAGCTCTCCCTACACACCCCTCCCACAATGCTAAACAATGTGAACATGAAAACATGGAGGCCAGAACAGGAACAGACAATGTCCAAGTCAGAGGACTACACTCAACATCTGAGCCCAAAACTGAGATCTTAGAATAAGGAATAAAAAAATAGAAAGAAAGAAAAAATAAAATAAAGATACAGCTAGTCATGGTCACTTTGACTAGATATAGCTAGTCATGGTGTTAAGTAGTCTTACTACAAATAACATTCGCTATAACAATTAGATGGTAAGTTTAATTATATAAACACACAGTTTCTAAGGCTGGTCCTACTTTCAAAACTATTTTTAAATGGTACAAACAGAAGAAATGCTATGCTTTTGCATTGAGACCAGAAGGATAATCCCTATAAAGTTAATAAAACAAACAAAACAAAATTGATTAAATGGAGAAGGGAAGAAGAGAATGGGCAACTGGCTTCTGGCACCCAAGAGATTTTTATAAGCTAGATGTCCTTAACTCAAAAATGCCTCAACTACAGATAACACTGTTACATATGTGGAGAGGAAAATGTCAGGCTCAGTATTCATGCTATCTTACAGAATCATTAGGGACTGGTTCCATTCCAGGGACTCACTTATAACACTGCTTATATCATACCTCCCACTCAACGAGGGATGTATGGCATGTAATCCTATAGCAGTGTAATCCATCATTTCTAAAGCCCTTCAAAACTTACGCGGACAATTTTAAACAGGGAAACACTAAACTCCCAGGACATCTATCATAGCACCCAAGTGAGCCTAGCTCCCCCAAACAACGGGTCCGGCACCAACGATGGGCAAATGCAACTGAAGAGGACAAAAAGAGTCATAAAAGTTCAGCCTAGATTTTACACTTTCTAGTTTCGAATAAAAGTCAACTTTGACAAACAAGGTGAGGGCATCTTTCTTCCTGCGAGAGAACAAAAGACATGCACTTTTGCTTCTCCTCTGTGTGTAGTCTAGAACACAATATTAAAAACAGGTGAAGAAAGTAAGGCTGGTTCCTTGTGAGTGTCTCTAGATTAAAAAAAAAAAAAAAAAAAAAAAATGCAACCGAAACCGGTTTGGCTCAGTGGATAGAGCATAGGCCTGTGGACTGAAAGGTCCTGCGTTCGATTCCGGTCAAGGGCATGTACCTTGGTTGCGGGCACATCCCCAGTAGGGGGTGTGCAAGAGGCAGCTGATTGATGATTCTCTCGCATCGATGTTTCTAACTCTCTATCCCTCTCTCTTCCTCTCTGTAAAAAATCAATAAAATATATTTTAAAATAAATAAATAAATAAATAAATAAATAAATAAATAAATAAATAAAAATAATGCAGCCCCAAGAGATTCAAATAATTTAAAAGAGGGATGGAGTTGTATCAAAATATTAGCAAAGAAATAAAGGCTTGCCAACAATGCACAGATTCAGGGAGGTGAGGAGTCCCCACCCACTCAGACACAGAATATCCCTTTCAGAAGGCTGTCTGAGAAGGCTCAATGTCTGGCTCTCAGCTGACAGTTTGAAGAAAGTCTGGCTTAGGAACTAAATGAAAGGTAGCCTTATAATAAAGTAAGATGTATCACTCCAAGTATGAGAGTGGAGGTTGACAGGACAAAGAAACAAAGAAACAAACAAACAAACCCAGTGACAAGAATTCTGAGGGCTTAAGATAATGGTCTGTCTATGAAGACAACCTATAATCGGTCTTTTCAGGATCAGTCCCCAGGGTCTGAAGCTGCTGCCGGGTAAAAAGTAATGTCATCATCCCAACCCGGGCCACGGCCCTTCCAGGAAAGGAACACCTTGGCTTCATGCCAGGATTGTTATCCCTCATGCAGCCTGCACGGCAAGTCCTTGACTAACATAACCTGTATTTCAAAGGCTAGAACTGATGCATTGCCAAGTTCAGAGAATCTTTATCAAGGTTTACCTGCTTGGCCCTCTTCCTTGCTTCATCCAAGGATCTTCCTCTTTCTACTAACCGTTGAACCACTTTTTCCCATCGGCTCTGGACACTGATAAGCAGATTCTTAATGAGGACAACATCTTGTTTCTGGCTAAAATACTTCAGGTGGGTTCCAGTTTTATCCAGCTCTATTATCTGCTCACGGTGAGAATTTACCTCATTGGCGAAGACCTTTCCCCCAAAAAAAGGGAGAGGGGGGTTAAAATGAGAAACAAATGAGGAACAGACCTATCTTGAAAATGCTTCTGGTGTCATAAGCTGAAACTATTTCAAAGGACAAAAGAAAGGTTTTCAAACTAGCACATTCGTGCTTTTGACATGAAAACAGCCAGCTGTCTAAAAGGTCTGCAGTCAGAATGCTCTCCGTGTGAGTTATGGCATACCTTGTGTTCATCGATTTGAAACAAGACTGTGTCCAAGATAAGACTTGGCCGAGAAGCAACGTTTAGGGTCTGTTCGGCCTGGGTGAGCCAGTTGATGAAGTCTTGGAGAGAATTGTGGAACTCCATTGCCAAGTTGAGGGCTTCTTCCAGTTTAGTCTGCGAAGAAAGGTTGTTTAGTATTTGATGATATTTAAAAGTGTCTTTTTTTCCCCCCAGTTAAAAGTGTCTTTTTTTCCCCCTCTGGTGGCTGTCCTTCCATTCCACATTTTATTTATGCATAAGCTATATTATCTAAACAGTTTATGAAAGTAATGGACCATCCCTAAGGTACTGGTAAGTCCAACACCTTGAAGTATATTAAGAAGCATCTCACTGCAGCTAGAAACATTTTAATATATATTAAACTATGGTTTGGGATCAGTGAAGCACAGAACAGTTAATGTTCTGTTAAAAAGCATCTGGAAAATGAAAACTTGACAGTCATAAGATTAATTTTTTGGAATTATAATACTATGAAATATATATATATATATATATATATATATATATATATATATATATATATATATTCACACATATACACACACATACATGCTGTGTTGGCGAGGACTTACAATCTAGTACTATTCCTATCCTACTATTTTTTCTTACAGCATTAAACAGTAATGTTTTTTAAAATCTGCTTTTATTGATTTCAGAGAGGAAGGGAGAGGGATAGAAACATCAGTGATGAGAGAGAATCATTTGTTGGCTGCCTGCTGCACCCCCCTACTAGGATCAATCCTGCAACCAGGCCTGTGCCCTTGGCTAGGAATTGAACCACGACCTCCTGGTTCATAGGTCAACACAACCATTGAGCAACACTGGCCAGGCAGCAGTAATATTTTTTAATATCATGGATTTTTGTCAAGTAAGTGCTTACTAGTATGGACAATTATTTCATTCTCTTGATCTCCCTCACTCCCTCCCCTACATACATCTTTTCATTTAATAAGAATGACCAGAATAGAATTATTTAACAGCCTAGAATTTGAGTAGTTCACAAATTTAAAAATATAGCTAGTAACAGTGATCTCTGATACACTGTTACCTATGTTTGAATAGATTCCTTTAACTCTTTTCTTCATTTAAGACAGAATACGATTTTCAACTGACCCCATGAAAACGCCTCATGTATACAAATACATTCAAACTGGATCATTAAATGTCCCACTGATCATGCTACTCAGAGATAAGGTAAAACCCATGAAATAAAACAACTGACACATTCATCCTATTATATTAATCAAGACACATACTTTCCTTTCATTGAGTTTGGTTTCCACTGATTCCCATTTTTCTTTCAAGTTATTTATGTCTTGGTCAATATTTGTCTCTGCAGATTCGGGGCATCTTGCAAGCAGCTGTTGGCCTTTCTGCATCAGATTCTTAAATGTCTCTTCTTTCACATCAAAGGCGGCACAGATTTCCTATCAAGATACCCCAACCCCCAAGTTATATCACTCTTTAAGAGAATAAAGTCTAAGAGTTCCTATTCCATTTCATCAAACCCAAGCCCCTTATCATATACTCATCTCTATCCAGCATATAGCATACCCTGAGACATAACTCTTCACTATATTGAAACAACAACTAAACCTATAGCCATAACTGTCTACCAAGAAATCTCAGAAATGCTGCCACCATCACCAACCCATTCTGGCATGCGAAGGTTTGTAAAACAGTATTTTAAATGCTATGGAGAAAGGCTTCACAATATAGTAACCAATCAAAAAGGCTTCACTGTATAGTAACCAACCTTTGGCTAAAAAGTTAACCTCATTGAACCTTGACTTCCTCCTTTGAAAAGCAGGTTTTAAGTCTCTCCTGGGACTAGCTAATACAATAACTATAATATTTTTTGTATAATTTAATTCTGGGTTCAGAAGACATTCAGTGGGTAGAAAATAAAGACTCAATTTAGTAAGACATTTAAATTGATTATTAAGACTTTGGAATTAAAAAAGCCAAACTTGTAGTATAATACTTTGAGGATTTTACTCTCACTTATAACATTTTTAAAGCTTTCAACTAGAATGCAATTTGTATCTTCTATAGAAAAACTAAAAATGATATGGTTTAAATAAATCCAGAATTTAAAATCAATGAAACAACAGTTACATTCCTATAAAAATATTAAGACTAGTTGTAGTCCATTGATTAGATTATAATGTCGGTCAAATCATAGCTCCCCAACTGAAAAATTATATATTTTATGTCTAACATTTTCAACTTCATAATTTTTAAATGTGACATGTAATTCAAAGAATTCACTCATATTAAAGTATAAAATTCAGTGTTTTATTAGTATATTCACAAGGATGTGCAACTATTACTAATAACTGCAGAACATTTCCATCCTCAAAACTTTATAATTTCTTAAGCCTTAAAAAAACCCTTTCTAAACATATTGACATTATCACCTATTAAAAACTTTTAATCCTACAGCAAAAGTTTTAAATACAGCCAAATCTCAGGAAACTATAGTCTTCTAATTTTTGTGGTTTTCTTCAACTAACACAACCAAATCAAAAGAATATTACTAAAAATGCATTACAAATATCAACTCTTTAGAATCTCTTAAATCTTGGAATATCTATAATTTGGTAAATTATGCCGGGTTATAGCAAATACCCCACCCAAACCACATCAGCTAATATCCAATATTTTCCTAAAAGTAAAGTATCCTAAAGAAAAGCTCTTTGCTGTTCAATTTCATACTTATATTCTTCTAATTTAACATTTTAATAACATTTTATTAGAGATTACTTCCAGGCATGTTTGTACAAGAATCCATTATACTTATATTTAATGAACACTGTAATAGCTACAGTGGTACTTCCAGGAAAGTAAAGAAGTATCTGGAAGTCAGTCAGGTTTTATGGAAAAAACAAACACTCCCAAAAGTTATTATTTAGTCAATTATTTTTTTCAGTGAACAAATGGTCACTTGTAGTACCAAAAATAAACCAAACGAAAACAGCAGTAACAACATAATCACAGACATAATAATTTTCTAAAATAATGAAGATACATGAAAGATTTCTAGAAAATTTCATAATGGATTAGTAAGATTTATTTTTAACTGCTCATGGCAACAGTGAAGTAAATAAGATGTTAACTCTGTTGTGCTTCTTCATAAAATCTCCAAGATGGTTGCTTGCTCCCCACATCACCAAATTCCAAATTATTTCCAAATAAGTACAGTTTTAATAAGCTCTTACAACAGCATTAGACATCTGCCAAAGAGTGCAGACTTTAATGTTCAGTGGCCCATTTCTTTTGTCAAATTCCTGAATACTACTTCTTTTATTCCATAAGATACTAATTATCAGCATTTGAATATTAAAATGAATTCCTGATGCAAATTCACAAGTGTAAGAATTAGAGGATTCGTTTTCAAACTCTGAAACAGACTGTTTTCACTTAGTACTTTTAGAGCTGATTTATAATGGGAAATGAATAACAAATGTCAATAAATCAAAGGCAGCCTACATTCAATTTGTCAGCCCATATCTCTGTGAAAGAAAGCCAGAGACTCGATTCTAATTATTTTTTTCCTCCTTATCCTTTGGCACTGACAGGGCCACAGGACCTGGGTGGGACCAGCCCAGAAGCAGAATGCTGCCGTTGGACAAACAGAAGCCTCCTCTTGTCTCTATCTGGTCCAGCATGAAGCTGAAGATGCAGCCCTATCACCAACAAGACAAGTTAAGTGACCTTGTGTGAGCAGGACAAAAACATATTTTCCAGGCTTCTGTGAAGCAAGCTGGAAATGCAATGATTAGCAGCAGTAATTTTTTAGTCAATTCTGATTACTTGAGGAGGAATTTTTCCTTTCACTCAAAGAGCAACAGTTTTTAATTTACACAACGTTGATCGCTACCCATACAAGTTTATCATTTTTATGGGGGAAGGTATACTTCTAAAAAAATGTCTAGACTTTATAAAACCTTTTTCCATGTTCTGAACACACCAACCTTTGAAGTAAAGAATAGGTTCAGATTTGAAAAGTTAAATCAATAAGTGGTGTTTCTAGCACTTACACACAGAGACTCCTGCTGTAAAACTCTATATCCTTTAAACCTCCTGCCACGATTTACTGTTCATGAGGGCCCATACAAGATGGTTCGTTTCTTAATCTGAGGCTAGCGCTGTAGGAAACACTTACCATGTGGGCATTCAGCTGCTCCCTGGCCGTCTCTGGTAAACCTCCCAGGGGTTTGGACGCTAACAGATGGCGCTCCGTGTCGGTCAGCCACTGCTGCAAATCCTCAATTTCGCCATGGAACCCTTTGGCCTAGAGGGACAGAGAGTTTTAAGTTTGGGTCATAAACACTGTTGCTTCTGCACAGAAAACAAGGTTTAAACAATCCCACCTGCTGAGTCTCTCTCTGCATTCCTAAGAACAGCCAGGTGCCAGCCACCAGGTTGGCCCTGCCTCTCTTCTTCAGGAGGGTGCTACGAGATAAGACTATTACACTAAGAACTCGAGAGCCTTCTCATCAGCGCTCTTTATCCCACTTATTTTTTACACTTCTTGAGGTGGGAAAATTAAGCAGGAAGAATTGCATGCTCTTTTGGTTCTGAGGATGATAGACAGTTTCAGAACGCATTCTCTCATTCACCTGGCGCAAGGCACCATCCAGCTGCTGCTTCCGTTGCTCTGTTTTTTCCAAAACATTTTTCCAGCGTTGGTTTAAAACCTCTAGCTTGTTCTGAAGGCTGCTTGCTTCTTCTCCTGCACTTGATTCAAGTAGATCATTTCCTGCTTTATTAACAGCTTCCACTGTGGACTGATGAGCTAACACATCATTTTGGAGCACCTGAAAATATTAAGATAACATGATGGTTGCTAGTTTATGTTAGCATCCCTTTTTAATGCAATGGTTTTGTTTCCTGGTTTTGAATCATTTTGAAACACAAACATCATCTACATAGAATTTCAATACTAAAAAAAAGTTTTAAAATGACAGACTTCTTTCCCCTTACCTTTGCAGCTTTCCTGTCTCCCAATATCCCTGAAATGATTATGGGAGACCAGTGCAAGTTCTTCCCATTAGAATAGCTTTGCAATGCATGACATTACGTATTACAGACATTATCATTAAAAGGCTATAAAAGTATTCATATGGTTCAAGCTCATTTTAATTGAACTTAATTTTAATGTTGCAAGTAAACAACTTAAGAGATATTTATTTTCATATATCCATTTTCAAATATAAAATTATTACATTTCTAAGATAAACGGCACTAGGGTTTACATTTAGCACTCTAGAAGGGAAAAATGATCCTAGAATATTCTTTTATCCCCTCTCACTGGAATGGTGCTGCAATTGACTGCTAAGTTGACAGGCATCTGAGGAGGAGGCCCTGGCACTGAAGGGAAATAGATTTATTTCATTGTATATCGGGGATTCTCAAGCCCGACATTCCAAATTCGAGCTATTCTTTTACTAGAAAATACACATGAACTGCTTGCTACATATCCCAGCAAATAATGTTCTCCTATTCTGTTACACGGCAGAAATACTAGAATGGGTTAATGACACTTCAGTGCACTAACATAGGCAAGCCTGGTTCAGTACAGAATGCAACCGCCAGGCTAAAAAGATCAATTTTATCATACTGAAAAGAATGGTAAGAATTACACTTTAAAGAACAAATATAGCTGAGTAATAGTTTCCTTTGAAGAAGACTGTAGTTTTGTTTTTGAGAACCAGACAAATCCTTCCTCGAATGTTAATAAAAACTGGTGATAATCCTTCTCTCCATTCACTGACTCGGGATTGTCCATGAGAAAGAAAAGAAACATCACTTCCGGTCCTAGGTAAGGCATCTCACATCTGGACTCGGAGGACTTTCACTGATGGGTACCACCCACCAACCATCACTGTTTCTCTGACTGTATATACTCATTCTCTGAAGCATCTGGTGAGGGAGTGATTTTCAAAGCCTGAAAAATCAACTAAGTAAGAAATCTTCTTTATAATAAGCATGCTCTCAGGCATGCTAACATTGGGAGTAAGGTCAGGTTTAAATATCCTTGTAGTCAAAATGTAAAAAATGATTCTAAAAAAGTCATTCTCTTAAATGGTCCAAGTCCTATATAAGCCACAGCTTAGGAGCTAGAGAAAAAGGCAGGAGAGGATGGAAACATTTCCTCCCTTCCTCCAACAATTGTTCTGGCAATTCTAAGTCCTTTAACTTTTGACCTTTGAGAAATGAAAGGAGAAAGAGATCCATTTTTAACGCACAAAGATAAACGAACAGAAATAAAAGGTCCCTAACTCATCCCTCTCCCAAATAACTGGGTCAGAGTGTCTCATTTTTCAACCTCTACTGTATTCTACCAAGTTCCTGTCACTGATGTATATGACCTTTTAGGGCAATTGCTAAGTTTATGGAATGTAAATGCTATAAACTCACACTATGAGAATAAACATGTTTTGTTTATGTGCAGAGTCAGCCTCACCAGTCATTACTGCTCTTAGCCACGACATTAAATAAAAAATATTAATGATACATAATATAACTGCTTAATCAAATGTGGTTGGGCAATGACTACAAATATAGACAGAACAAGGTAAAAGAAAGAAAGAAAGAAAGAAAGAAAGAAAGAAAGAAAGAAAGAAAGAAAGAAAGAAAGAAAGAAAGAAAGAAAGAAAGAAAGAAAGAAAGAAAATTTTAAATTAGGGAAAAATTATTCTGGGGAAAAATATGGAAGGAGAACTAAAGCACAAATAGTCAAAAACTGCATATCATACTCTTATCAAGTGCTAAAAAAAATACTTTTTACTTTTAAATGCTATTAATATGTAAAACAAACTTTTTCCATTTGACAATCAAAAAAATCTTATTTAAGGTTAGAATGTAGGACCTAATCTTAATTAAGATACCACTATTGGTATGAATGTTAAGGTTCTGTGAAAGGCTGTTGAACATCAGGAATAACACTGCTGAGCACATAACCTTATATTCAGTAAGCCTAGTGACTTAAGGAAGGGAACTTTCTATTAAGATTTACCAACTAAATGTCACAAAGATAACAATAATATAAAATTGTATTGCGAAGATCTCAATTTTCAATTTATAAACTTTAAATCTAGTGAAGGACATTAAAACTCTTTTAAACATAATATGTTAAAGACCTAATTCATAAAGAAAAAGACTGGGAATGCAAAGGGCCAGAAAAGCAAGCCTCAACATAATGAGAGACAAACAGACAGAGGTATGTTAGATGTGCCAGTCAAGCAGCAAATGAGATCAGGGTGGACAGAAGAAAAAAACACACTACCTACAGTGGAATAACATTTTGAATCTATAACTTATTAGGCTATTCTCAACAACTTTTGAAACTTTGCCACATTAATCCGATGACAGGGATGATCAGGGAATTAAACCTGTCTGCAGCCCTAGTAAAATTGAGCCAAAAATTTCCCATCCTTGCTGTTTTTGATAATAATTCCCTTGAGCAACGAGAAAAACATTTTTATAATATTTTAACAAGTGTGTTTTAAGTAGTTTAACCTTTAGTTACAAATTCAAATATGAACTTGTGTTAAAATGACAATTTAAAATGCATAAGGAAACATTAAAAAAAAAATAAAAACCTGACGAAACTGGAAATGCATAGAGAAGAAACGTAATAATGCAACCACAGCTACGTACGTGATGCTTGGCAAGTTCGATTTCAATAGCCTTAGGGTCTCCTCCCACGGGTTTCTGTTCATTTAGCAAGCCCTCGGTGTGAGTCAGCCACGCCAGGAGTTCGTCCAGAGCATGTTGGAACTGCCCCAGGGCTAACAGGGCACCCTCCAGCTTGTGCTACAAAAAAGTAGAGATAAAATAAATCCATGTACGAACCTGATATAGTGTATAACGTCCTATATAATAAAGAGGGGATATATTAATTGACCCTCATGCTGTTGCAAAGATGGCAGCACCCAGAGCCAATAAGGAGGGAATATGCTAACTGACTGCCCCACCCCCACAGATGGCTTGCCCTCATCCACAAGATGGCAGTGCCCAGTCCTCTCAGCCCCACTGGGGCGGCAGGTGCATGGCAAGGCTGGCTCACCCCCAGGCAGGCCTGGCCACTCTGCACACCTGCCTCCAGAGATCCTCAGTCCCCTCAGCCCCCAGCCTCCCAGGGCCGGCCTGAGGCTCAGGTAACCAGGGCTGGCCTAGCTTACATTGCCAGCAGTGGCAGCAGCAGAAATGTGATGGAGCGTTGTCTTCCCCTGATCACCAGGTTGCCTCCCAACCCTGTTGGCTCCCAGACTGTCAGAGGGAGCAGGCCAGGCTGAGGGACTCCCTCCATGCATGAATTTTCATGTACCAGGCCTCTAGTATATTTATATGATAAAACAAAGGCAATGAATCAATGTTCCCTGCAGCATACGTCTATAAGCATATCCAGTGAAGCCCAATTGTCACAAGCTTCTACATTCTAAGTCTGAAACGCTTTATGGTTAAAAAATGGCATGTGACAGGCAGAGAGAGTTCTAACTAAACTAGAGGCCTGAAACAAACAAACAAACAAACAAACTAAAGGCCTGGTGCATGAAATTTGTGCATGGGTAGGGTTTGAGGCCTGACTGGCTATCAAGGCCGATCGGGGTCTTCTGGTTGTCAGCTAGGGCCTTCCTTCCAGCTGCTGTCCAGGGCCTCCCTTCCCTGGCTGCCAGCTACCGGCTGGGGCCTTCCTTCATTTCGCACCACCTCCCAGTGGTCAGCACACATCATAGTGAGCAATTGAACTCCCAAAGGAACACTTTGCATATTAGCCTTTTATAGATAAGAGAACTTAGGGGCTTCCAAAGTTTATGTAAGCACCTAATTTTAGTTTTTAGTAATTATTTTACATTAATACATAAAATTGGGATTTTATAAATTCTTAACAAAAGTCTTGGTATTTACCTGTCTGTTGATGATTCTCTCATCCAGACTATCCCATATCAACTTCAGTTCCATTAATGGGTCTTGAACAGTGTGTTTGTCACTTTCTTCTGTTACTTTCTTCAGCAAAAGCTCTGCTTGATGGTTCAGTCTTTCCATCTCTATCTGTTGTTGATAGGCCTCTGATTTAAATTGCTATATTTTAAAAGAGATATACAGGAAAAATTTGCCGTAACTCCATAATTTTAAACAAAAATAATTCTATGGGTTAGGCCTATATTATAACTCATACTTCTTATTGGGTAGTAGGGTGAATAGGAATTAAAATGTAACACACAGTTTACCAAATAAATTCCCAAAAAAGGGAATTCTTTTTTTCTTTATTCATTGTTTTCTGATGAAAAGATATTTCTATTATATTTATAATTTTGATATTTCATTTTTATACTCTACAACAACAAAAATAACAAATTTCAGGGCTAAATTTAATTCAATATCTAAATATATATATTCAATAAATGAATTTTGAAATTATAGCAAATAAGAAAACAAAATGTTATAGACATATAAAAAACTCAAAAAAAATCTCTAAGAAATTCAAATTAATATTTACTCCTAAAAAATATACACATATATTACATCCACTGAACAGCTTGTTTTCTATAGCTGTGTTGTGTTCATTTAATATTTAGTTTTCCCTCTGACTCACCCACTGCTGACTCAGAATAACACTATTCTCCCTCTCCCAGTGCTACTGACACATATTGGTAATCTTGCCTTTGCCAACCAATACAGGTTAACAAAAGGTTGCTTGTAATAGGAAACTGTCCTTTCATAAAATATTTAATGTATAAATCATTAATTGGTAAGTAATAACTAAGCAGCCCCTTAATTTTTTCCAAGCATATGAAAATAAAAAATAATAACCAATATATATGTTACTCTCCATAAACTAATAAAGAAAATAATTTCATCCTCAATTTAAACTAAGGGTTTAGAAGTGCGACCAGTTAAATGACTTTCCCAAGATTGTTTAGCTAGTAAAATGAATGAACTGAAATGCAATCTCAGACAACCTCATTTCATAGAGAGCCTTCCCAACCCACCAGCTATATGAAAACCACCGAGATACATGCAAATGTCCAAAATAAATAGCCCTCCACAGCCATAAGAGTATATAAAATATATCATGGGTTTCTATATTATCATATAAAAAAGTTTAAAACAAAATCCCAATCTAATGATGGTAACAGTAAACTTCTCCAAAAATCCCCCCTTTTTTTTTTCTAAACAAAATATTCTATACCACACTTGGAGATGAAAATGCTATAATTTTAAAGCCAAATCATAATTTTATATAAAAATCTAACGGAGTTCATTGGAAATGGTGTGATGTGTCTATGGATGGACACCTAAAACCAGAAGGAAATCGCCCATCCCACTTTGATAAATGATCAGCGCAGAGGAATTCTAAGAGGAAACAGTCCACCCCTTTTCACAACTGGAGATGAAGAACTCCCCCTCCCCCCCAAAGGAAAAAAAAATAGAGAGGAAAGCAGATGGAAAATAACAAATAAAACAAACATTTTGAGAAACACAATTGTCCTATACGTGGTTCTTCAGCCTGTAAGACTAAATGAATTATTCTGAACACAATGAAGAAAATAAAAATGTTGCTCTATGTATATTGACAATAACAGACTGTTGAATAATAAAGCTATAAAAATCCTTATAGTTTTATCTCATATGTATAAAGCATGACCCCTATACCTCACCCTGCCCCCCCATGGGAAGATATGTCAAAGGCTATAAATTATATCTCAAGTGTGTTTGCCTCTGAGTACATAACAGTTTGGGTAGCCAAAAAAACCAACTTTTTGCTTCTTTGTATTCTCTGATATTTTTTTTCCTAAAGTAAACAGATAGTGATTTAGTAAGAAGAAAACTATTAGTATTTTATATCCTTTATTTAAGGAACACTTATATACTGGTTAGTAGGTGAAGGTACTATATAGACTAGTTTCATAATCAAAATGTAATACCTCAATTATGCAAAATAAATACAGTTATATAAAGAGAATCCTGTGAGTGAAGAACTTAAAAACAGAAGCAAAGTCTTTGACAAATTATCCCTCAGACATACCTTCAGCTCTTCAATCTGCTGCTTGACAGTTTCAAGATCTGTTCCAATTGGAGACATTGCAGCTAATTTTCCACCTGCAATATCTACCCAGTCGAATATTGCCTGAAAAACACATTAGTCCACATGTCATTCTAACTACATCTGAAACTGCTTCAATATCTCGATGTTATAGAAAAGCCTGTGAAGATACTATGCAATGAGTCTATTTTACAAATAATAAAGATGGTTCATTCTCAATAGGTAAAAGCTACAATATACTGCAACAGTTGTCCAAAATATGAAATAGATGTCACCTCCAATTATGTGTCCAAGTTTACAAAGGAAATTCTATTCTATAGAATTTTAGAATGTTAAGAACTTTAAACGCCCATTTGAGAAAAATGTTTTGTAAACTCAATCATAGGAAATAAAACTCTCTATACTCTCTTATGTCCCCCTAAAAGCAGAGTGTGTAAATATGTTGGAAGAAAAAGATTCAAACTCATCTATCATACTTATTCAAATAATCAAAAAATTTATTGTTTGGCATTTAGGAAAATAAATATTTGACTCAACGAAACCCTTCAATATCAATATCAATCAGGTAAAAATCCTGCATATATAATGATTAATATTAATATTAAAGACTATTATTCTGAATTGTAACATAGACTTCAAAATTTCCTATTTTTATTATTATTTTTAGGTAAAATAAACATCCTAAAAAAGCTTAACTCATTTTTTTTTCTTCAGGTATTGACTATACAAAATTATTTTGTACTTTAATGAAGTTGCCAAACCATACAGTAGGGGGGAATCCTTGGGAAATGTCTGGTATTATTTTTAAGATTTTTAATTGATTTTTTTTTTAGAGAGAGAGGAAGAGGAAAAGAGAAAAACATCCATGTGAGAGTGAAACACAGATCAGCTGCCTCCTGATCTCCCCTACCAGGTACTGAGCCCATAATCCGGGTATGTGCCCTGACCTGGAATTGAACTGGCAGCCTTTTGGTGCACAGGAGGATACCCAACTCACTGAGCCACACCAACCAGGGCAATATCTGTTTTAAAGTTACCACTGATAAACTCTAAGAACTTAAGCAGCAACCTGAAATAAAAATTTATTTTACTTTACCGCCAACCTCAAAACCTCTGGAACTTCTGGAGCTCCCAACCTCTAGCTCCAGCTAGCCATAGCTATTTAGTAAGCCAAGGTGCCCTTCAGTCCCACAGATGATGTTGCTAACCTATGATGGACCTTGTTTTCCCTGCAGTGGTAATGAGACTGTATGAATCATGGTGTTCAGCCTGTGGCTCCCATGGTTCATGGCTCCTGAGGTCAAATGGCTGCAAGTGGTGACAGTAACATTTCTAGCCATGAAGGAGGGCACAACTCAATGACTTCCCAAAGTACGTGAAAATCATGATCTGGCCTCACAGACTGAGAGCTGGGCTTCGATTAGTTAGTTACTAGTCGCGGATACCTAACCGATGAATTATCACTTTGGTTGAGAAAGGGAAAGCTATGGAGGGGGAAATAAAAAGGGCTTGTTTGTAGTGAATTTTTTCATCTATTTCCAAATTCAACACGCCTTTCAGCTGGCATAAAGCCTGGCTTACGCTATTTATTTTTACAAATATAGAAGTGGAGTGGCATAATAAAAAGGAAAAGATGTTCTCGTCTGAGCTTTAAAAAGAATAGTCACTTGGTGTTATGGAAATACTTAGAAAGGCTTTTTCCATGTGGTAGAAGGGAAGAAAGATTCAACTCTTGCCAGCCTTAACGACAGAAAATGGAATCAAGTTAAGGAAGGTGGGGAAAGAAACAGCCCAAACCAGGCCTCAACTGACAAGATAATTTTTAGTATTTTTTTAATTAAAAATGGCTAATAAACTAAATGAGAACCCAGAGGGATCTGAAAAATAGCTTTTAAAGGGAACGATGTGCATAAGAAAAAAGAGAAGAAAACCCTTTGTACACAACAGATTATGACCTAATAAAATAGAAACCTATTTTTGTTTTGGGGGAACACTGGCCTCAAATCAAATTTCCTTACTTCTGACTTTGGTGAAACTTGGTGATATTTTAGATGGTGTTTATTCCATTCATCTTACCCCACTCAGCTGTAGCACAGAACTCAGACGCAGGTCCATGCCAGTGCCTGGCACTGAGGCATTTATGAAAAAGACTGTGAGGGAATATTTACTTTCACTTGAAAAATTAAAATACTTCTTTTCACTGAATGTGTGTGTAAAAATGTATTTAAATGTATATATAAATCTCTATATATTGCAAGTGCCAGAAATATCTTCTAGAGGCAAAACATGGACTGGAGTAAGAAGAGGAAACTGCACGGACCCTTGCAGGCCCCCGTAGTGCCAGCGGGTAGATGTGGAGACATCAGTCAGCATGACTCCCTCTCCCAGCAGGTCCACCCGAATCCCCGTACCTGCAGTCCATCCTGGTAGTGAACGGCAGCCTGCATCGCCTCCTCCAGTCTGTCCACCCGGTCCTTCCAAGCTTTATTGAGAGAATCCCATGCTGAATTTAACTACAACAGAAACATTAAAACTCTTTTATTGTCATACGTTTTCAACTACTTTTATCAAATATGCCTTGGTGAATGAAACCTTTAAACATAGCATCCTGGTAAGAGTAGAAAATGTACCTCATCTATACTCTTCTTGACAATGGGTTTATCGGGTTCCCCACATGCAGTGATGAGTTCGGAGCCCAGGTTAATCACTATATCCAGCTCTTCCTGGAGTCCGTCTATTTCTTCCCTGATGGCCTGGAATAAGAAATGGCAGCCGTAGAATTTTAAGCAAAACCACACTGAAACTAAGAAGATGCACTCAAGCATTCATGGCAGTTATTTCTAGGAGGTGGGGTTATAATCAATTTCCATTTTCTTTCTCTATTCTAAGTCTCTGCAATTAATCTTTTCAATGAGGAAAGATATCAGAAGAATATTTTCAAGAAATAAAAGCATCCTTTGAGCAACAAATATCAAACATTTATTAAAAGGACAATATTTAGGAAATATTTCTATGTGACAAATACCAGAACAACTTTTTTTTAAAGCATCAACACAACAATACTTATAAAACTTACAAAGACATTTTGTTTTTCAAACTGCCTTGTTTGACAATACACGTTTAAAATCGGCATAAGTAAAACATGAGTTCAAAGACCTCACACAAATTAATGTATTTGCTTAGCAGATTTAGGATAATCTAGCTCTGGATTTATATTTTTACCCTAGTATATGTAAACTACAAACAAAACAAAACAAACAAAAAACCGTACCTGAGATCCAGTATTCTACCTTTGCTTTTATCTTGTTGCTTAACTATATTAATTCAAGAAGCCTTTACCAAGCATAAGACAAGCCCTAAACGAGGGTTGAGCATTCAAAGAAAAATAGGTATATGACTATTCCACTCATGCATGATAAGTCACACTATGTATACAGTCCTTTGCCTGAGAAAGTATTATGAGAACACCGACTAGCTCTGCTAAGGAAACAAGAAAGGATTTTATATGGACGGTTACTATCCAACTGCATCTTGAAGTTTGAGTGGGATTTGCCAGAAGAGTGACAGGAAAGACATTCTGGGGAGAGGAAATAATAATGTGCAAAGATGCAGGTGCCAGAAAGAGCACAACAGTTTGGGGGAAAGCCCCTGTGTGCGCCACAATAGGAGCAGCAGCAGAAAATTGCTTTGGACACACAGGCACGGGCTGGCTGGGATATAAAGGCCCAGAGACCCTGCCCAGGGAGTCTGGACTTCATCCGTAGGCAGTGGCTGCCTCTGAGGGGTTTGAAGCAACAACACAGCAAGAGCAGATCTAAAGAGACGACTGGCAGCAGGTTTATAGGCCTGGCAAGGAAAGGGACTGTAGGCAAGGATATCACTTTGGATGACTTTTGAAAACAAGTGAGAAAATGAGGCCCTGAAATAATGCTGAAGCAGGAGGGATGGAGAGGAATCTTAAAATATATGCTGCCTGAAGTAAAATGTCTGGGTGTGCTATTCTCCTACTATCTCACTATGCTTTCCACTTTCAGAACCAAATATAAATTTCAGTAGAGTCATTTTGAATATTTACCAAAGCAATTCACTTTACAACATACAACAACTTATTTCTTCACTTTAAATAGGATACTCTGCTTACCTCTGCTGCTTCTTGCTGCTGTTTTACTACGGAGGGATCAATTCCAGGATCTTCCAGGTCCCGGATGAAATCCTGGGTATCTTTTGTGGTCACGACCAAGGACATGTGATCACACCAGAACTTTTCTGCCAATTCCATTACATCCAGCAGTTTGGCTTCCCTCTCTTCCACCAGCGTGTGGATGTTCTCCCAAATGAAAACCATTTGGTCAAGCTTATCCTGAACAGCTAGGGAGCGAAACAATATCAAAAAGGCAGTATGTCAGCCCCATTTCAGCAAGAAAGCAGAACATTTTGGTTCACACCGAAACGGTGATTCAATATGGTATCTAAAACTGGACCAAATGTTGGTTGATCCCAGTCTTGTGAGTATCAGCCTATTTCAGACAAAGGTGAGATCTGAGGACACCCAGCTCCTTCTGGCTGAAGTCTCTTCTGATGAAAGGGGATGCTCAAGGGGAAGTGAGCTTACAGGAGACCTAAGTCTATCCAGTTCCAAGTTCATCAGGTCTCCTTAATTCCAAGGAAAGGAAAATAACTACCTAAATACATATTCTTTATGGTCTCCAAATCAAGAGGACAGATGTCTGTTCAGTCCCAGGAATGTAACAATGTAGGGTGTGTACCCTGGGCTTGTTTTCTAGAGTACTCTTAACATGAATTTCCACCAACCTGTGTACATGTTTTTTCCTACCCCAGCTCATGTCTTTAAGACTGGCTGGTTGCAGTCATGGTTGGTTGCCATTTCTGTGGCTAAGTGGGATAGAATACCTATTCTATGTAAGGTAGTGTAGTTAGTAATGAGGAAAACAATCCCTAGGTTTAGTCTTACTGGTATTATGCTTTCACCAACTGGTTTAAAAGGTCCGGAGAATGCGTGATTTTTGTATAATGGCTCACTTTGTATTTAACCGATTATTTTACAAACACAGGAAGACATTAACAAGGGATTAATGTACGCAGCCCTCCAAACCCAAACACGTTGTATTTGTAATACCTTTTCTAAAATCTGGCACCCTGATATGCGATTGGACTGTGGTAAACAGCGTGAACATGTAGAATTGTCTTGAGACTAAAGTTCAATTGTTTCCCTATCCTGAAATCATTACCTCTGGCAGATATGTCTTTATCAGTGCCCCCAGACCGAGCAATCATTTCCTCTCCCCGCTGTTTCAGAGTCTCATACAATGGCTGCAGCTTCTCCATGTCCACCGACACGTTCTTGTTTTCACTGATCTGCTCCTTGATCTTCTCCACCTCAGCAGAGATGGAGGGCGGCTGCCTCAAGCGCTCCACAATGCGGTCCAGGCTCTCAAGAATCTGGTCTATCTTGTCATGGAACTGGTGGTAACATAAAGGTATCACTTATGGGAAAATGATCCATGATACCCAATGTGAAAATAAAAAATAAAAAACCAACACATACAAAACCACATCTACTTAATGTCACAAACAAGAACTCAATCTTAGTCCTTTTTGTTGACACATCCAAAGAATTATATCCAGCTGGTGTATCAAGACATCCTGAAACCATGATTTACAGACAGACAGACATGACCTTCTCTGCACCACATTACTTATGTAATCTGGATTGCTTCTAGCAAGTAACCGAGTGAATCATTAAGAAATGGTATATTTTAATGTATAAGTGGGACACCTGAGAGCATTTCATCTACTGCTTCACTTTGTTATCTTAATTCAAATTAACGTTTTAAAGTAAGTTAAATAATCTGGGCGTTTGTCTATCAAAATGGGTTGTTTTATTCACTTTTACTGATTCTTTTGGCATCCTAGAAAAGTTATATTAATAAATGTGAAATTTATGGGCAGTTTTGGTTAAAGGAGTTTCTTAAGTTATAAGTTTCCTGAACTGAAAAATGTTTGATGCTGAAATGAACGGTTGTATTTAATTCATGATCAAACACATAATCAGATTAATGCAAGCATTTTAAACTTTTGTTTGTGAAGTTACCATAGACAGTGAAGCAAAGTTATAAAAACGTGTTCATTCATAGATTCTGCACTATCCTCAACATTAAAGGAATCATCACTCACTTGACATTATAGGAAATGGACCACTAAATATCAGCATTTTGATAATAAAAACTAAATCTTGAAAATAGAAATCACAGGTAATTTTGAATGCAACTTAAAAAAAGATATATCAAAAACAGAAAAAATTGTTTTCCAACTTTGTATTTTTTCTTTTCTTATTCAGCCTTTTCTTTTCTTATTCATCTATCATTTACTCTTTATTTCTTTGTCTACTTTATTTCACTTTTTCCTATTACCATTTATCCCCTCTATGCTGTCTTCCACCTCCACTCAGCCCTATGCTCCCACCTACCATTACCACACTGTTGGCCATGTCCATGAGTTCTCTCTCTTTTTCTTTTCTTTTTTGCTCAATTCTTTCTTATTGCCTTCTTGGTAGTGCTTCATTCATAGTGATAATAACACTTTCTTTTACTTCTCCCAATGGCAAATACTGCATTATATTCTGACTAGACACATTTAAATATTTGGACAATGTGGACAACTGTATTTCTCAAGTCATTTAAAATTATTTTTTATTATATCTATAAGCAGACAAAGAAATATAAGGACTAGACTCAAGCAAACTCCACCTCCGAGAGACGAAGATATCAATACTCAAAAGATAATGTAGTGAAATGATTTTAGTTGAAATTTAATCAGGAGATGCGGTGAAATGTCTTTCCATGCTCTGTTGTTTGAAAGAACCCAATCGCATGTCTGGTGCACATCATTACCTGAGTGGACTGAGAAATGGCTTCATCCAGGGCCACGGCTCGCTTTTTGACATCTTCTTTAATTTGACTGTAAAGGCTGTCAGCTGCCACATACTTCTCTTGGATAGAAAAGCCTTCCTCTGGGCTCAGTTCCAATAGCTGTGGCCCAGTTTTGTTCATCTTATCTATATGAGGTTTGTGTTCGGCTATCAACTCTCGCAGTTGCTATAACAAACCAAACAGCTTCTTAGTATCTGAGGGTCACACCTCCATATTACAGCTGTCTGCAACCCCAATGCATCCAGCTGGCAGGAAACTCCAAACAAACACCCTCCCCTCACAAGGCATTTAATACATGATGGCTCGTACAACTCTTTGCCAGAAAGAGATGCCCCTGACACAAAGATTAAACAACAGTCTGTTCGTGTCAAAGTCCTTTTGAGGACACATGAAAAATGTTGGTTGAGGGAAAGAACGGATTCTAGTTCATTACGCATTTTATAGCATCATATATTTTGACAAGAGTATTAGCCAAAGGTCATATTACATAAAAAGATTCTGAACTTACTATGTGTCCCCAACATACAGAGACTAAGCCATACCTCTTGATGCCTCTTTATGCACAATCATAATACATACAAATATTAATTAAAATAAAAGAAAGAAGGGGAAAAAGCAAAAAAAGAGAGGAAGAAATGAAGAAAGGGAGGTAGGCAGGAAGGAAGGAGGTAAAGAAGGAAGAAAGGAGGAAAGAAGAAAAAGGAAGGAAGGAAAAAGTAAGAACCTCAGTAGAAGGTAGCCACAATGCTGAGAGAAGAAAAAAACTAGTATAAAGCTACATTAGGTGAGGTAAGCCCACAAGGCATTGTAATTGTATGTAAATCAATATAAAAAGTATGTACATGTATATTATATTACACACATATATATATTAATCTAGTCTGTGTACATATATATGACATATGAATATATACATATGAATGAACTATTTGTAGTTACTTTTAAATGTTAAAGAATGCTAGGGTAATCAATATCAAATACACAGCTGTATATGAGCATTATTTATGCTCTTTCCCTCCTTAAGGAAAAACATGTTAAATGAATACATTTAACAATATCTAACCAATGATACAATGATATTTATATTAATGAGTATGAAATTAAAATGAAGCCCCATTCTTTTTAGGGAGACAAATAAATCTGGAATATCTACAGTCCATGGAACCCAGTACCTCCACTGGGCAGTATTTCATGGGCCAAATCCAAAGCCACTCCCAGGGGAAAGATCAGTCATTGTCTGCAGGTTTCTCTGAGGCTGACCTCCGTAAAACATTGGGGAGTGTTCCATTTATGCCACATTATTCATTTGGTTCCCTAATCAGCAGTTCCTTGTCCTCAGTCATTGTCCAAACTGTTTGCTATCTAGACCCAAATAAAAGCTTCTCTGAGAGAAATTATATTCAGGGAAGACAGTCTAGAGAAAAGCTACCAATCTTATCCTGCAAATATTTTAATTTCTATCATTCATCAATAAAAATCATCAGGATGGCCACATCTCATTTTTTATGAAAAGTGCCCACTAAAATCAACCAAGAAATTCTTTTGAAAACTGAGGGAATCACTTCATTAGATCATTAACCATCTCCAATGTAATATAATATTTCTGAAGTGTTTCTGAAGGTGACCTCAAAACTCTTTTTGCAAAAGAGCTAAGTAAACACAAATTCAATTTTTACAAAAGGAGGGGGATCTAACCTAACATGTTGCACATAAGAATGTGGAAAAGGTCATGTCTGCAGGTTAGCTCCTGGGTGGTCTAGGCTGCGATTTTTTTTATTTTTGTTTCATATTGTTAGACCATATTTTCATGCTGCTTTACAGAATATGAGATGGTGATGATTATATTGACTAACATACAATCTAATAGAAAAGAAATGTTTACACACCTTTCCATTTCAATATTCTATAAGGCATGTTTGTAAAACAAGCTCACACTCACTTTGAATTTTCAAGGGACTCTCAAGTAATATGAGAGATCTAGGAGTTCTCGAGTCTTTAGAGTCTAAGTAGGTCTCATCTGTGTAGCATTACTACGAGACACCTTTGCTTGGGAAGCAGTGAGATGAGCCTTTGTAAAACCATTTCATGACAGACAAGAAAAGACCTACTAGGTGCCTATGTGGGGATATGTGTGTGTGCATGAAGAAAGGGCTCCAGAGGAGATGTCTTTTGCTTCATAAGTAACAAAATGATCCCTGGTAGCATTATACTACCATAAGAGTCCAGTTTTATGTATGCTGGAGACACCTAATGTAACTTCAAAATATCTACCATTTGGTAAGATGGCTCTTGGAACCATTTTTCATTCCTGGCTAGAATGAATTAAAAGGTATTTCCAAAAATAACTGGAAAGGAAATTGTGAAGTTTCATAGGACAGCCGCTCTAGAAGGGGGCAAATAGTCTGAAAAGTTTAGTTTGAACAATTTGAAGACTTGGCTACACAGTTCTGTAGTTCTCTTTATATAGAAAATCATAAGTTTGTTTTGAAAGCTGAAAATTATGCAAAAATATTAACTCAATTTTGAAATTTTCAAATCAATAATAATAACTGATTTTACGCTAATAATGTAGCTACTCAAATCTCACCTTGAGGTAGAAGAAATCCTTGAAACATTTTATACTAAAAAATCATCCAATGGATAGGCATCAGGATTTTTGTCACAAATAAACCTTTACACTAAATTCAATTAAATTCTACATAGTTTGTAAGTCTTTCTCCTGCTGAATGATTTAGACAGAGAACTCCATAAACTTTCCATTTTTGTGTTAAATAGTGTTCTCTTAAGCTCTCTTCTAAATAAATACTTCATTTAGAGATATTCTCCAATGCCAATACATTGAAAAAATAAACAAATAAGATTAGTATGTCAGATACTTCAAACAATGATGTAATATATTGTAAGTTAAACTTTACGTGTGTGTGTGAACACACACACAAAGCCTATAGTACATATAAAATATAAAACTTAGTCAAAATATAAAAATTAAAAACAATCAAGATGCACAAATTAAAAGTGCTTCAAAGACTTATTTCTCTAACATTGTAAATGGAAATTGTTTTTATACCCAGGTGGTTAATGCTATATGTCATCCCATAAAAGCTATGATATAATTAATGACATACACAATGTGGTCTTCCCACATGAGTCTACTTCCTGTAAACCTGGATAACAGGTAAGCCAGCTCTAAGGTAAGCGAACTGTGCAGACCAGAACAGAATATTGCTAAAATGTCCTAGTCATGTAAGGTGTCTAACAATTGTTAGAAAAATATCATAAAAATCATGATTCTCTTTCAGTAGGGAATACAGCATTCCTTTGGCATGGAGCTTACCCGATGTTCTTCCTGTTGTTGTCTTAGAGTTTCATACTCAAGGGCTGGGGCAGGGAGCTGAGAGATGATTCTTTGTGTTTCTGTCAGCCATGGCCAAAGTTCTTCATATGTTTCCCAGAACTGGTTAACCAGGGACTGTGCCCGTTCCAGCTGTAGGTATCTCTCTGAGTTTATCTGGCAGATGGAGTCATAGTTCTTCAATATCTTGTCCAGTTTTTTCTAGAAATGAAGATGATGAAATGTGTGTAGCTGGTGAGGTGGGCCAAGTAGCACATGTACTCAAGAACGTTTGGTCCAGTACTAGACTCCTGGTGCCCAGGAGACACTCAATAATGCATGTTACAGGAATAAATCAATAAAAACTATTTATATTTTAACTGTGACTATGTATTAAAAAGTTCATTTTAAATTAAAGAAAGGCCCTGTTTCATATCCATGTTTTTACATTTGGCAGGATTTCCTTCCTTTTAAAGACTGAATAATATTCTAGTGTCTGCTAATATTAAGTGTTTTTAACACAATAATAATAATAATAAAAAAAACCCTATACATATCCATATGTAAACAATAGCAAAAATGTGGAAGACCAGGCTGGTAAATTATGACATATTCATACAGTGGAATTCTACACCATCATAAAAAAAATCATGGAATTTAATAACATAACTTCTCAAAAAAGATGTTAAGTGAAAAACATTAAAATATAAATAAAAAAATACAAAAACAAGGCCTCCCTCAAATTTTTATAAGACAGTGACTTCTCTAAACATAATGAGCAAAATTCAGTGTCTTCTAAGTTAGAAAACGACTCCTGAATCTAGTAACATTTACATTACTTTCTCAAAAAAAAAAAAAAAAAATAGACTGCCTTTCACTAACGAAATTATAAGAGGAACTGGTAGTCAGTAAAATTAATTACATGTCTTAGAATAAATATGGAACATTATGCTATCCACTGGTTTCATGGAGTGGTCACAGTGATCTAGATTACGGTATAAATCCATCTCATGAACTAATAGCAGAAGATAAAGCACAACAGCGGTCAAATAAACCACAGAATGACAGAGAAATTATTACGTGATGACCTGTGCTTTCTGTGTCAGAATCTTTACAAAAATAATAAAGGAAAGATTAAATTATAAACAAGTAAATTGCCATTGTGGAGGATAAATAAAAGAGAAAGTATTACTATATCGTGTACACTGTATTACTCACCTATGTTATATCTTAAGAGAAATGTACACCCTTTAAAATGTGACCTTAGGCATGGTCACATTTATATAATTTAGTTTTTGCCTAATAGGAAGGGTTCATTTCTTTAGGCTTTTCAGATGCCAGAATGTGGAACAATGCGGCTGGTTTTCCATCAATTTAGAGAATCATTAAAACTACATAAACTGGATGCTTCCTTAATGACTCAGCTCATTTTCCCTCCTATTCAGCTTACAGTAACTTCCTACAGCGTGAATTTTGGCATGAGAGAGAACCACATACTCTGGTTTTTCTTCCAGCTCAAGAGGCCCAAATGTTTCTGAAGTATGTAAACAACGGTTGACACTTACAATAACAATTTATAACAATAATAATGGCAATAATGCAGTGAACATTAATTGAATGCTTAATGCACACCAGTTAACCAAGGGCTCAACCTTGAATCGCTTTTCTGTAGATTATAAAGATTATTGCCTCAGGGTGACTCCCTTCAGGAATATTCCTTTCACTGTTATTCTGGACCCTTGAAACACGCCTTATTTGCAACCAATGACTTGGCTGTTTCAAAGGCAGCTGTGGCTAAAGGAAAAGTGCTTTCTTCCCTAGGGCTGAAAGCTCAACAGATGCCTTTATTCAAGAGTGTCACTACCAGTCACAGACAAGATTATACCTTCATTGATTGCTTTTCTTCTTCACTGCACGTGGGCATGATTTTATGTCCAGATTTAACAAGTTCGTCAATAATATCCTTGTGTCTCAAAATTTCCATGGTGAATGTCTGTGATTTACAAAAATAAAGATATTAAAGAAAAAAAAAAAAGAAAGAAAAAGAGAGAGTGTAAGAATAAAATGAAAACCATTAGGCAAAGTAGCTGAAAATACCAAGTTACACTAGGGGAGTTCGGCAAAGTAAAGCATGCGAGAGCACATTTTCTAGCCGAGCAGATAATTGAGATATAACTGGAAATGCCTTTCACCTTTTGAACCTGCAGCTGAGCGGCCGTCTGGTCTTGCTCAAGCCTGATGTCACCCAGAGACATCAATTTCTTTTCTGTTTCAGTAATCCAGGATATCTCAGCATCAGCCGCTTGGTCAAACTAAACAAAAGATAAATAATTAGGTCAGCAAGTTCCTGTAACTGGTGCCAGAACAATACCTATGTACCTATCTTTTCAATATCCTTATTACACAAGTGGGAAAATCTGAGCTTATTTCTTCAGGACATCCTGAAATAAATCATGATCATGACTGAAGTTACAAAGAAAGGAAAACAACTTCCAAGAGTAATTAAACACAAGCTCTTAAAACAGGTTGAATCCATAACATGGCATCCATGATTTAGGACACCAAACACTGCTGACTTCATTTGGAAGTCATAAGAATTTTTCTCCCTAGGAGTACTATCCAAATTGGTCAGCTATGAGAGTCCATAGCCGAATATCATCTTTCAATCATTTCCTCATCACTTTAAACCATATGATATGCAGGTAGCGTTCTAAATATACAATTCCTGGGCGGGAGGAAGGGGAGAAAGAAAGAAAAGAAAAAAGAAACGTTCCCATTTTTTATTATCTGTGTGTATATAAATGTATGTATAATACGTTTCTACACATACAGAATGTATCTCCAAATGACTCATGTACAATTTTTTACATCTCACTTAATAATAGTAGAAAACGTACTCAAGAGCTTTCTTAACTATTTCAAGAGATTTTTGTTTTCCTGATCATAATAGTTATTCATGGTAGAAATTCATAAGATACAGAAAAATATACAGAATAAAATTAAAAACTAGAGTGAATACCATTGGTATTTTGGTGAATTTTCTTCCAACAGTTGAGAAAGGTTTATAAAGGTCTGGATAATACTGCATTAACAGTTTCATATCCTGCTTTTTCATTTATTATGAACGTTTCCCATGGCATGTTCTTTTATGTGTGATTTTTAAATAGCACCATTGTATTCTAGCATATTTTCATTTAGGGTCTCTGCATTTTTTTTTTTTTTTGTTATTATATAAACAACCCTGTAATGAATATCTTTGTATATAAATCTCTATTGGCATCTCTAATTAGTTCCTTAGGGTGGATTCCTAGACAATGACTACCCAGTCAGAAAGCACAACCATTTTCAATACCTTCATCAGATAAACCCAATGCCCTCCAGGGCCAAGCACTTATCACGTACAAGTGAAGTGAGTAAGTGACACCACCAGCACCAATAACAAATGGTAACCAACCAACAGCCTCAGTTGGAAGATCTAGCAGGTAATGGACATCGTGAGTATTCAAATCCGGTACTGCCAGACCTTCTAATTTTTTAAGAGAACCTGGAAATCCAGAAGGGGGAAGGTGAGTAACTAGGTGAGGAGTGAGAAAGGTGGGGATAAGAAACTAGATTGAAAAAAAAATTCACACTTTGAAGGGTCTATGTAACATTATATAGACTCCTGAGAGGATGGAGTGAAAATGAAAAAAATCACTAATTCAGCAGCTTCAGATGTGGGAAAAGAAGGCTCCTTAAAAAACACATGAAGAGTCCTCTGTGCATGGATTACTAGCTGACGAGGTTAGAAAGCAGACGTGTTATGCTAAGTGAAATAAGCCAGTCAGAGAAAGACAAATACCGTGTGATTTCACTTCTATGTGGAACCTAATGGACAAAATAAACTACTAACAGAATCATAGATACAGAGAACAGACTGATAGCTGTCAGAGAGAAGGGGGGTTGGGGAGGCTGTGTGAAAAAGGTGAAAGGATTAAGCAAAAAACAACAACAAAAATCTCAGTCAACAGCATGGTGGTTATCAGAGGAGAGGAGAGGTAGAAGAGTATAAAGGAGGAACAGATGGTGATAGGAGACTTGACTTTGGATGGTGAACACAATATAATATACAGATGATGTATTATAGATTTGGACACTTACAACCTATATAATTGCATTAGTCAATGTCAACCAAAAAAAAAATTTTAAAACAAGTGCAAAAGTCTTCTATGCATGGATTATTAGCTTTAAAGCCATATACTGTACAATGGAACTGCAAGGTAGAACTTCATTACATGGACTCACTTAAAGAGCACAGAACTAAGAAAAACAGTCCAGGCTTTCTATCTGAGTGCAAAAGATATACGAATAAAATTCAACAGTAATGATTTGTTTTCTTCTGCTGGTCCCTAAAAAAAAAATAAAGCGACACAACATCCCTCTTGTATGTGTTCAAACAATTTTTAGTATTTATATGACAGTCCTCATAAAGAAAGGCAGGCTGTTAGTGTTAATATTAGCTTAATACCACATCTTCCTCTCTTTAAAAAAAAAAAAAAAAAGTAGCCAATAAAAAACAGTATGATGATGCCATCTAAGTTACCAAAATGGAAAGCTGAAACTCAAACACTGTTTCTTTAACCCAGGCAAATATTTGCTCTGCTGAAAGAAAACAAGACTGTAGCAGAAATTTCCCTTCTGTCTTTGAATGTTGTTTTTTTTTGTTTTTGTTTTTGTTTTGTGGGGGTGTGTGTGTATTTTTTTAATTAAATTGACAAATATTTATTATTTAGCAACAAATGGAATAGCCACAGGGTCTACATTAAGCAATTTACAGTTAAGCAAGGCATTTTATTTAGGTCTGTGGCTCTTTTAAATGACTGCTGAACACGGGTATTTCCATTGAACCATAAAAACTGCTTATTTTACATGTGAGCAACACGAGAGCAAGATTACCAAATCTTAATAAATCTGCCCATGGCTCATACGAGTAATAAAAAGTGACTTCAAATGAACTGTAGATAATCTTAGCATCTGCAACTGCATTCTGGGAAATACTTGGATAGTATGCATCATGAGTGGAGTCTAGTCATCAATCTTGGCCACTTACAGCTCCCTTCCTGCTATTAATAACTAGGTTAATTACAACAGCATCACTATTACAGATGAACTAGCATTTCAGGATGTTTTACAAGTTAGAAAAATACATTTTATTTGGCTATCTCTAAATATTCCTGTAATACACTCTCTAAACTGGTAACAGCCAACCTTCTACTGAAGGCACTAAGTGCATAGCATGTAATATCTCTTTTAATCCCGACAACTACATAAGATATTACCAGTAACTCCATTCACCGCCGAGAAAACTGAGGCAGAGAGAAATTCTCTTAGTTGCCAGAGCTTTCTCAGCTTGGAAGTGCTGGACCTGAGATTTGAACCAAGGTGGTCTGACTGGACCCGAAGGGAAGGAGCCTACAGCGTGTCTTTTCATTAACATGTACTTTCTGCAGTCTTTGTTGCCATGTTTTGCCCCTGGTTCTTGAGCTCCGTGAACTAGAAGTACTAATGCGATGGCACCAAAAACAGTTCAAATGCCACAACAGTTCATTAGGGGTAGGTTCTAACTTCCTATTTAAACATGGGTCCAGTCTGACAAATTGCTTTCGGGCTTATCTAGAAAGTTTCCCTTGAGTGGCAACGGAGGTTTGAGAGTGATAAGGAACCTTAACCTCAAGGACACCCTTTCACTCCCTTCCCCTGGTGAGGATCTTATCTCTCTCTTTTGATTAGCACTTCCTTCCATTTTGCGGCACATTATTCCCCACCCCAACACCTGGAGGGTCTGAACAAATCTCACTTCCCTGGGAGAGGTTTCCTCCTAGTTCTTTAAAAGAAATAAACAGGTGTTATGGTGTTATTTTTTCTCCATGGCTGAATCCTAATGACCCAATGAGCCGTTTATTTTAATTGGACCAAAATCACCAATACATGTACCTTCATGTCGGGGTTACAGGATCTGCTAAAATAAACCAGGCAATTAGAACTCCCAGGGAGACGCACACGTTTTAGCGGCTTTTGACAATTGTACATTTGTAAGAGGCAGAGGACAACAATGAGCTTCTCTGAGGTTTAAACAATCGCAGTGGTCAGAATTCAGGCTACAAATCAGTACATCGTTTAAGCAAAAGTGCCTTTCCCGTTTCCACAGGGCTGTTTGGTTCAATTTGCAACTCAAAACGAAGAAAGCAACAAAGATGTGTTACTTTGTGTAGATTTAACATGTAAAAATGTAGTTTCTAACTCAGAAAACGGCCTTCAATGTTAGGAAGCAAGTGTCTTTCTTACTCTGTTTTCTTTTTTTTATTTTCTGAAGCTCATCTTCACTGTTTTCAGTGCTACCTTGTCCACTCCAATTTTTTCCTATTTTTCCTAAAAGTAATAAATGATTCCATTCTTTTTAAAAATGTATCTTCTTCAGAATATCAGTGCCTACAAATCTGTGGTCAGATTTGGGGGCCAGTTGACTGCTAGCACTAACTGTACACAGTTGTCACTCATTAGCACATAATTGAGGCTGCTCAATTGTTTCCCCGAATAAAAACAAAACATCACTCAAATGGACATAAGGCTCTTGTCCCCATGATTTTAAAATTTAATGCCACATCTTTTCAAAACTACTGCTCTAATATAGGGTTAATATGAAAAATCTACCCACGCAAGTGTGAACTTTTTAAAAAACTGAACTTATACAGGGCAGTTAGAAAGTACATGTTAATTAAAAGACATGCACATAGCTCCCTTCCCTTATGTCTTCGAACTTTAATTCTTTTTAATGTTTTCCTGGACATCTTTCATATCAATATTTGGAAGCCAATACAACTCTGATAGTGGCCTGACAGTTCACAAAGTCCCTATGCATTTGTTGAATTCCAAAAAGCAGGTTATAACACTATAAAGGTGCTGGTTTGGTTATGTATACAACCTTAATGTGGCAAAAGATGAAACATCTTAAGAGAAATTTGGTTGGAAAACAGGTATTCAAACTTCAGTTTAATTTAACTAGGTTGCTCCAAGACAAAACATGAAATCTACAAACTTAAAAATTACCAAGTTATCCGAAACCGGTTTGGCTCAGTGGTAGAGCATCCGTCTGCGGACTGAAAGGTCCCGGGTTCGATTCCGCTCAAGGGCATGTATCTTGGTTGCGGGCACATCCCCAGTAGGGGGTGTGCAAGAGGCAGCTGGTCGATATTTCTCATCGACGTTTCTGGATCTCTACCTCTCTCCCTTCCTCTCTGTAAAAAATCAATAAAATATATATATTTTTTAAAAATTATCAAGTCATGTTCAAGGCACAAATCCTCACCTTGTCAGTGGTGGGTGTGGTTCTGTTGGGGGTTGGGATCTGGGATGGAAGAGTGTTACTAACACTAAGAATATGTGTCTAAAGACATGTCTAAAGAGATGGGCTGTGGTCAGATCATGTCCATGTTTTACATGGAGAAGAGAGAGAATGTAGGATGATTTGTATATACCACAAAAAGTATATAGTATAGAATGTATGGCTAATATCAGGTCTGAAGATTTTTCTTTATTTTGCATCACATTCCTTTTATATTTCATGATGTATTATCACTAGGTAACAGAAAACAAATATCACAGTACCAAACTGTACTCGGGTCCTAATTCAAAACATCTCTAAATGGGAAAGGTAAAATAATTTCAGTGACACATTAGCTCCTTTATAAATCTGAAAAATATGAGTGTAGAAACTACTCTTTTGAGTGTGAAACTAAAATCCCTGTCAATTCAGAGAGGCAGGTTCCAATTTTGTCTTTAACTTGCCTGGAGAGTGATCTCCGCAATCCTAATGGTGTGGCAGCCTCATGGCTCCCAGGATTTATAAACTGGGAATATCCTCACTATATACTTCCATTTCCCTATAGCAATGGTGCCTCCCTTCACATTAATGAAGGAGGTGAGAAAAAAAGGACCACCCCCAGGGTTTCCCCTCCCAATGTAATTTATAAGGAGGCACTCCAGGGTGGAAAAATGAGGTCTGGATAAAATTGGTTGCGGCTCCACCACATATTAGCTGTGGGACCACAGGCAGGTCACTTCACCACACTGCACATTTTCCTCCCGGCTCTAAACTGTGTCTTTCTTTTCTTTTCTTTTCTTTCTTTCTTTCTTTCTTTCTTTCTTTCTTTCTTTCTTTCTTTCTTTCTTTCTTTCTTTCTTTCTTTCTTTCTTCTTTCTCTCAGTCTCTCTCTCTCTCTCTCTCTCTCTCTCTCTCTCTCTCTCTCTCTCTCTCTCTATTTTTTGATGACTTAAGTTCATTTTACTGTTTTGTTTTTTATTACTAGAGGCATTCCATTGGACAGACTTGCAGGCATTTCAAAGGAATGCACACACAAATGCAGAACAAATACAGATAAACAACCAGAAGATATTAATGACATGAGCATGAGCTGTATGACCTACTGGTACTAAGATACGTTTACTATCCGCATTCTTTCTCTCTCTCTCTCTCTCTCCCTCCCTCCCTCTCTCTCTCTCTCCCTCCCTCCCTCTCTCTCTCTCTCTCAGAAGGAAAGCCAGAAGGATAGAGACCACTTTGTTTACACATTCTTTCTTCCATGGGTTTGTATTCTTTCAGAATATCTTAACGTTTTCTATAAGGAATGACTTTATCAGGAAAAAAATAATTGTGATTTTCCTAAAGAATATATATTTTGGGTTCTAGAAGACATATACTGCACTGATATATATATATATATATATATATATATATATATATATATATATATATTATTTTTTTTAACTTTGGAAAACACTTGCAAAACCTTGAATAGAACTGGACACATACTTGAGCTCACTAACCAACACAAGCTCAGCCTGTCACCTTGTCCTTGGTACTATCTTGCTGCACTAAACTAGCCAACCACAGTTAACTACTCCCAAAAGAACAGAATATTTGTCTTGCTATTTATAGAGAAGTCTCCAGAGCCAATTCTGAAGCTTTAGAATAAATTTCGGTGGAAAAAAACAAAATTCGGTACTTTCAACTATCCGAATAAACTTCACAAACAAGCGCACTTATTTTCTTATAATAAAGAGGCATACAAGTTGCTCCAAGCTTTGAAAACAGTCATGAAGGAACATTCCAGGGGCATGAATGCCCTCCCCCGCAGACATTTCTTAGGCAGGCCTTCTGCTACCATTGTACTTGGTCGGATTCTGTGCCTCCCGAGCGCAGCACTGAAATGAACAGTGAGGTATGTGCCCCAGAACCGTATAAATCACACTTTGACGGCAACCTTAGAAAATTAATTTCGGATGCTCCCACACAGCCTGCTTGATTTGTGTTTCTTGCTCGGGGCTGGCACTAGCGAAAAATTAGTCAGACACCTTCTCACGCTCTGCTCCACAGTCGCTGCACTAACCCCATCCCAGAGCACTGGCCATAAGGCGCTGGTGACTTAATGTAAATATCCGGGGATTTCAATAAAAGTTCATCAAAACATGTATTGTTAACTTCTATTTCTCCCCCGCCCTCCCTTCATTGGCTATAATTTTCTGAGGGAGCTGTGGCTAATAGTTGGGTACCTATAAAACTCTCTGGAACAACTCCAACTCCATGTGAGTCACAGATGGATTGAAAACTAACCTTTTCCCCTTTACAGAGAAAAGCTCTACCAACACAACTCTGCCCTCGTTAGAAAGACGACAGCCTCTCTTTGCCATATAGCTCCATGCAAAAGACCAGCTAATACTGATGTGCACGGCAACTCAAAATATTTACTCACTTACAGATTAGACTTAGCCAGTGCATAAAATCAGCATTCGTCATATGCATATATGTACACACACACACACAAAAAGAGTTTTCTTTGGAAAGCAGGGATGATCTACCCAGTGGCTGATCTGGTGAGGGTCCGTCTGGGAAACAGAGGGGCAGATGGCGGCTGACAATGTGCAGATTAGCCGAGCCCCGGCACTCAGACGTCAAAGTAACCAAAATCTTTTCAAATCCCTCCTTTCATTGTGGAAGCAGAACCAATGAATGGAAACACTATTAACGGAAATCTTTGTTCAGGTAGAGACTCTGGGAACAGCCGGGGAAAATGTATCGCCTGGACAACAAACCACTCGCCCCTACCTGCTGTGTTCTCAGAATGGCGGCATCGATCTCCTCCACCTTCTGGGTGATGGTGTCGCTCACTAATCGGTAGCGCTCATTGTCCTCCGCCACCATTTTTTCAAGCCCCTCCCTCGCCCTCCAGGGCACCAGTTCCAGTAAGGCACTGCTCACTTCATTAAGGGAATCCAATAAGGCTTTGCAGCTCTTGGCTTCCTTTTTCAGCTCCTGAAAACGGAATTAAGAAAGCATGCAAACCTGTGGGTAAATGCTTTCATGTCTGAACAGGTTGCTCCTTTTCCTAATGTGTTTGGGGCTAACATGCTTTGCAAGGCCGAGAATGCAATGCGCTGGCACTCTTGGTTTCAGCTAAGTTCTAGAAACCTTTGTAATTTCAAGCAACAGGGAAAGTGTTTCCTGAAAAGTTCTGAAGGACCATTCATTTGCCAACATGGCAAGATTTCACCCTTGAAATTTAATCTGAATGTCTATAAGTTGGGAAACAAAACCAAGCAAGTTATCTTGTATTATTCTTTGCTGTCTGGTAACCTCTAAGTCAGTGGTTCTCAACCTTCCTAATGTTGCGACCTTGCTAGCGGTTCTCAACCTGTGGGTTCTCCACCTGCTGAGAACCGCTGCTGTAGAGCCTAAGACCATCGGAAAACACAGATATTTACATTACAATTCGTAACAGTAGCAAAATCACAGTTATGAAGTAGCAAAGAAAATAATAATATGGTTGGGGTCACCACAACATGAGGAACTGTATTAAAGAGTCGCCGCATTAGAAAGGTTGAGAACCACTGCTCTAAGTCATCAGGTGCCATGGAAGTAAAATAAAGAGGGAAGTCTGAGCCAGGATCAAGTGACCCTCGAAAAGAGGCCACACTGGCTTTAAATCATCCCAGCTGAATCATTATAGGCTCAGCAAGCCTGACCTCACCGACTCCCTTTCCCCCAGATATGATCATACTTCAAGGATGATAAAGACCCGCTCATATCTCAGGGAGGAAAAAAATGATTAGCAGGGTAGGAGATCACATTTGCAATACAATTTTAAAAGCCACCTCACGTTATGCATCTGTCTCATAAAAATAGTGTTATTCTAACCAAATTGCGTGCATCTCTGGAAACGGTGATCCTTTTCCTTGATTTTATTTTTCTGTTTTCATCATCCTGTCTCTTGTGTAATAAACTATAAGACTCTGAAAATAAATTATAATAACGTATTTTCCGGCGTATAAGACGACCCCCCTAATTTTACAGTTAAAACATAGGTTTAGGCCTATATTCACTGTATAAGACTACCCCCCACTTCCGAGGCAACACCAGTTCTTTTTTTAATAGACCGCCTCTCTGACTCTGGCCAATCTGAACAGGCTTTTTTTTCCGGTTCAAAAGTCGTCTTATACGCCGGAAAATACGGGAATGCTGTTTTCATCTCTGGGTCCCTAAAAGTTTACACAGTTGACCTGCTGCCAATTTCTGTTGGGCCCCCACCCACCAACGCATCCTTCAGCGTGTTAGTAATGACACGAGAGATAGTGCTTCATTCCTGTGTGGATAAGACACCCCCTCAAGATAGCAAACGAGTCCAAGGTGCATAAATCAGAGCATACTTTGTGTCGGGCTTGCGCTCGGCTTGCAGCTTCTCCCTTCAGAGCCTGAGTCTCGTAGGAAAGCAGTTCCACCTCCACTCTGTCCAGCCAGGTGCAGAGCTCCTCGTGTGTGCAGTGCAGCCGGCTTGCAAGCTGCAGGGCCTGCTCCAGAGTCTTGGCTACATCCGCGCTCAATTTGGTAATGTCTTTGTACCTTGCTTTAATGGCTTCCAATTTATCTTGAATTATTAAAACTTCATCACCTAAAATTTCAAAGGCATGTTATAGCTCATGAAAGGAAAAAGAGAGGGGGCAGAAGGAAGGGTTTCTTCAGAGAGTATTATATACTGATGAGATTTTCAAGGTTGCGGGGGTTGGGGGGGGGACTTTAGAAAACATTTTTCTGAAGAAGTTCTGACCCTCCCGGCCAGCATGGCTCTGTGGTTGAGCATCGACCTATGAACCAGGAGGTCACAGTTCGATTCCACATCAGGGCACATGCCAGGGTTGCAGGCTCCATGCCCAGTGTGCGGCGAGCAGGAGGCAGCTATCAATGATTCTCTTTCATCATTGTCCGCTTCTATCTCTCCCTCTCCCGGTCTCTCTGAAATCAATTAAAAATGTTTTTAAAAATGACAAGTTCTAGCCCAAGAAAGGCCCTTTTCTGGGTTTTAACCTTTCCCAGGATTTCTGGCAAATCTTAATAGGTCCTGAAATGCAAATATGGAAACTGGAAAAAATCACAGTGCCTTCAGTTATGTGGAAAGTATCACGTAACTATGTATGGTGCTTCCAGCTCTCAAGCAGAGGAGTTAAAAACAGTCTGGATTCATATACCGACTTCATGGCCTAAAAACATTGAATTTGTGGCATGTTCCCCTTCACAAGATACTGGACCCCTTGCTGGTCACTGATCATTACATGAAGATAAGAATGGAACCTACTTCATAAGATTGTGATGAAAATTCAACGAGTTTATATTTGCTAAGTGTTTAGAACAGTGCCTGACATGTATGTGTGCATATATTAAAAGTAAGATACTCACCTGCATGATTCCCTATCTAATTTTCAGACACACAGAGAAATTGTGTCTTGGGCTTCAGACTTGGGAGTTCAAGGCTCTAGATACTATAATGAATTTCTCCAATTTGGTACTTGTCCCCATCATGCACCTCTGCTGAACTGGATAGAGGTCTAGTGAAACTTTCCTAAGCCAAAGGAATTACTAAAACAAGCTAGGTTGTATCTGCTGCTTTAGTAAGCTCAAACAGGAAAGTATGGCACCTGAGCTTAGCCACAGAATGAGTCACTGAATGCAGTCTGTCTTAAAATATAAAAAAATATATTGTCTACAGTCTATGCGCTCATCTAGAATAGCCTTCCGCAAGCAGAAAACCAATGTAACTCCTGCGTCAGCTTCTCTGACCATCTCCTGTGCCACAATGCTTTGTGTCATGAATAATACACTCAGCTTCCATTAAGAACTCGAGTGAGATCATGAGAAAAAAAGTGAGATCATATTCCCACCCAACTCGGTCTGTCTTCAAAGCATTCTCCAGAGTGAAGGCTTGGAGTGGCTCACAAATGATAATGTTTTTGTTTTCCCCCCATTCCTAAAACAATGTGAAAGCAATGCTAAATGTTGACTCCAATAGTTACTTAATTTGAGAGATATCTCACCTGTTGTGTGTTTAAGTAGTTCTAAACCATTTAGCAATGCCTGGTCTACATTTTGTTTTCTGAGTAGTATGTCCTCTTGCAGAACCTAAAAGGCAGGTACCATTTTCATGTGGGGAAAGAAAAATTAAATACACATTAGCATCAGTTAATATTACAGGAGTTTTATTTAGGCTTTATAGAGATATATTTGAGTAAACAACCACATTTCCAAATATTCATTATTGTCCCCATGTTTACCCTCCTTTTTCTGTCACTGTGGCCCAGGTCCCAGGTTAATCTACCACAACTGCCAGTACTCTGCATTTCAGAAAATAGTTAGGGCCCTAGGAAATGAGCTACCTGGAGATACTGGAGCACTCGTTAATTATGGGTCTTTACATATGGCAATAAAATAAGAAGTGAAAAGTGAAAAATCGGCTATTGGATACATTCAATCTCTTTTTTAAGGTAAGTTCACTAAAAGTAATCTGTCTACACAAAGTATTTCTTGAGTATACCGATACACCTAAATCAAAATGAACATAAAGTAATGCAGAAATAAGGAAGACTCAGAAAATAATGACAACCAAAATGAAAACATAAAGTAAAATAAAATCAAAATACCCGAAGTTCAGATTGCTGCTCCCACAGACCCTCAGTGCTGTAATCCTGGACTGAGAGCTTGCTCAGCTTGTCATGTACTTCATTCAGCCAATTCATCAGCTCCACTTCATCTTCCCCAAAAATCTTAGCATTACACAAGGCCTGCTGGAGCAGCTCAGACCTGCTGTGACTCTTCTCTTGAATCTCAATGTACCACACTTGAGAGGAGTCTAATTTATTCTGCACCGTATCTTTATCCTCTCTGGAGCTCAGAACCTTTAAGGACTGGCCAATGCTAATAGCCTGGTGTAAATGTTTACTGTGATTGATGATGTCATCTTCTAAGGCCTAAATAAAGTTTTTTTTTTAAAAAAAGAAAGAAACAAACAGAATGGACAAATAAAAATAAAAACATAAACAGAATGAAGAGTTGACATTTGAAATGGATTTAATTCACAATGGCTCATAAAAATAAAAACAATGCATAACTCAAATTTTTGTCATAAAATCAAGAAGGGAATGGGAGAGCTGGATCTTGCTAAGGTGGGAGGAGTATCTTACTTTGTGCTGTGCAATCTGTTCCTCAAGTTTGGACGCTTGGGTTCCTACGGGCTCACAGTTCGCCAGCCTCTTCTCGATGGTTGTGAGCCACTCGTTCAGCGGTTCTAAGGTTTCATGGAATTGCTGTGCTACCACTGAGATACCTTCCAACTGACGATTCCTACAAACGCGCCAAGATAAAGGTCCTTTAGGGGTGAAGACTGTGTGACATATTCAACAAAAATCTTCACTCTCTTGCTTCTGAATTCTGTTCTATACATTTTTTTTTTGGAGGAAATTTCTAGGGCTAAAATTAGTATCTCTCACATTTAAAGAACATGTTAAAATAGTTCTAGTAAATAAAACTGAAGTTGAACAACAGGCCAACCTCAAGTGCCTGAAAGTCTTTAGCAACTTAGTTATAATATTTAAAACAATAATAGTTATAATAATAGTTATTATAATAATAGTAACAATAGTAAAGTTATAACAACAGTATCATCAATAATAATGACAATAAGATAATATTTTTTGGACACATTTTTGTAGAAAAAAAGTAGAGAGTATCTCCCATAGGAGCCAGGGCACAGTGTCCTGAGGTATCACAGAGAAGGAATAACCTACTGACATGTATTATAGGTCAACACGAAACCTTTAACCTCCTCAGGAGCACCTTATTCTAGGTCCTAGAACTATAATTAATTCTACCTCATTATTCAAAGTCAGCCAATTTTTTCTTTTCACCATTTCGGCTCCAGAGGAGGTAGGAATGTATGGAAATATTCTATTCAGTGGTTCATCGATTTTCAACCCAAAATTTCTAGGTGGCTACACTTTAATGTAGCTACTCCTCAAAAATTGGTCAAGGGAGAGGATGCAGAATGAAATACAGAAATGTGGAGTGCAAAGTGAAACCATGCTCTAGGCTTCCCGGCCTTGATATATGTTACAGCACCATTCACCTGCCTAGTTTCCTAGCTAACTCCTACTACGCCTTTGGGAGATAGCTTATAGCTGACACTTCTCTGGCCCCAGACTATGTTCTTCCTATTACATGCTCGAATGACACCCTGTATTTTTGCTTTGAAACATTACATTTGTCATTACTTTTCCATTGCTATAAAACCCTACTAGACTGTACCCTATCTGAGGACACAGATAATCTGTCCTGCTCATTCCTGTAACCCAAGGCCCAGTTCTGCGCCTGATACATAGCAGACAGGCAATAATTATGTAATAAACAAAATGAATAAATTTCCCCTGAAATAAATGTTTTTCTTAAAACAATGAGTTGGGATATGTCTGGCGATTATGAGACACTGCCATCAGAGGAATGAGGAGAGAGATACCATACACAGCCCTTGCTCTCTGTGCTCACATGATAAACATCAGAAAAGTATTACCAAATAAACATCTGTGTTAAAACCATTGCTTCTCTCACAAAAGATCGGAAGTAGTGTTTGTTACCTTGTTTCAGCTTTATTAAGCAATGCCTCCCATCTACTATCCAAGAGAGTCAGTTGTTTCAAAATTTTTACTTTATCTGCAGGTTCTGCTGTGGCAGCAATTTTTTCTCCTTCTCGTTTGATTACCTCTACAGTAGATTTGCGGTCATCCAACAATCTTTGGAGAAGCTTCAAAGGAAAAAAAAAAAAAAAAAAAAAAAAAAAAAAAAATATATATATATATATATATATATATATATATATAAAGTCAAAGAAATAATTGTATCAACATAAAAATCTATTCTAGGCACTTTTATTATGTGCCCAAAATATATATTTTTTGAATGAATTCACATGCAAAGGATCTGAAAAGTAGGATTTTAAGATTAACTCATTTTGCTTAATGACTCATTATGATTGTGTCAGACATTGGGTTAGGGGCTTTTCATGGTGGATAAAACTAATATTGATAAGGCCGCCAAACCACTCATTAATAATTTTAATGTAAAATAATGGGGTAGAAGGTGCTGCTTAGCATAACTCCACTGCATTGGTGGTGACAATTTCCCATTATTGTAATGAAAGGGGAATCGTCCTATACATTCAACAATTATCTGTCCCATTAAGACAAAACAGATATTACAAGTCATTACTGTGTTCAAAACCTTTCCCGGTGTTAAACAATGCAGTACAGGTATAGGGTGAGACACAGACCAAGCTCACAAAGCTAGTGAGGCAAAAGCAGAGGCTCATGGCTCTTTTTACAGGTGGGGTTCGCTCCTAAAATCCTCCGTGAGGATGAAAACCAAATAAGGGCTTTTAAATATCACTCTCTAAAAGAATAGAGGGTGGAATGTATGAGAACGCTCCAAAGCTGACTAAATAAAACTAACATTTCAGGATTTAGCAGCAGAAGACAAAAATTCAGTTCAATTCTAAGTAAATATTTCAAGAAGCCTGGAATGGAATGTTTCATATAGGTGGGCAGAGCTCAGGGCTCCCTTGCTCTTACCTAAACAAGCAAATATTTCATGAGCAAAGCTATCTATGCACAGGCACCATGTTAACTAACAACGAGTATGGCACAGGGGATAAAACACCACCTAGCTCCCGGTTTCCTTCATCTGATCCTGACTGATAGATAAGGAGTAAAGAAATGGACAGGCAGCCAGAAGTAATAAGCTAAAAGTGCATTCACTCACTTTCATTTTGTAATCAAGACCAATGAAATAGGAGGTAGAGAAACATATTTAGGAAGAAGAAACATAAACCCTCTTGACACAGGTTAGAGTCATTATAAAATCAAAGTCCACCAGTAGGTTTAGGCAGTAAAGAAAACTACTTAAGTGGATTACTTTTGATCAACTTTAATAGCAAAGTCACTGGCAACTAAGAAAGCCAAATTATCAAATAGGTTTTATTGGCTAAGCATAAGTTCAATAAATCTGGGGGAATTATAAAGATTTAAATTAAATTGTGAATGATAGGTAGCAGTTATTTTATATATTATATATTTTGAATATTATATATATTATATATTACTAGAGGCGCAGTGCACAAAATTCGTGCACTCGGGGCGGGGGGGTCCCTCAGCCCAGCCTGCACCCTCTCGCAGTCCGGGAGTCCTCAGGGGATGTCCAAAGTTGGCAGTCAGGCATCCTTAGCGCTGCCCTAGAGGTGGGAGAGACTCCCACCTACACCGCTACACTTGCCAGCCATGAGCCATGATTCTGGCTGAGCAGCACTCCCCCTGTGAGAGTGCACTGACCACCAGGGGGCAGCTCCTGCACTGAGTGTCTGCCCCTGATGGTCAGTGTGCGTCATAGCGACTGGCCATTCAGTTGATTTACATATTATTTTATAGGATTTTACTACATATTATAGTAGTAAAATTATAGCCTTTAATTATATAGGATTTTACTACACATTATATATTATACAAATTATTCAAAAATTGCATAAGTGTTTCCTGTGATGTTTAATTCTTACCTGTAAACCTATTTCTAATAGGTTAATTTCCCAATACAAAAGTCTTCAAAGTTCTGAATTTCAAAACTTAATGAAGCTTCTTAATCCATCCCCTTCTTCTTAAGGTTTCATCCAGGAGAAAACTCACCAATGTGTTGTGTTCCAGGCCCCTCCCACATGTCCTTTCATGTGGGAGAAGCCTGGAACATGGCTGACAAGTTAGTACTGAGAACATCACTAAGTGCTAACTAAGTGACCAGCAACAGTGGGAGCACAACTATATGTGAGATCCCAAATAGACATCACCTCTCTACTGAGTGTGTCTTTCCAACTTAATCCTTCCTGAGTGTCAAAAGATGTAGCAGCACATTCATTAGCATATGTGAATCAAATATTTGCTTCTTTAGCATAGGCTGAACCAGCCCATATTTAATCTATACCAAAGGCAATTTCATATGCCCAACCTAATATATAAAGGAACAGTGATACTTCTGTCCAAAGTCCCCTTCTTCCCTGACTTCTCTATTTAAAACTGCACACATACACACATATACCCTTTACTCTAGCATTTCCTGTCCCTCATTCTTGTTATCACTTTCTAAGTTTTATATCTCATGCCCGCTTCACTCATCACTTGCTAACTTATCACAATTTACTTATTTGTTTTATTGTTTCTCTCTCCCTGTTCCTCCTGTCCCACAAAACTGTAAACTCAGTGAGGAAATTTTATCTTTTTTTGTGTGTGTGATATAGCTCCAGCACCCAGAACAATGCCTTGATCCGAGGCACATGGTTCCAATAGTATTTGTTAAGTGGACAACAAAATAATGTCTAGAACACCAACAACCAGTTAGCTAAGATAACCTATTAATATAGAGTTTCATTATTAATGTGGCACAGGAAACACAATCCAGAAGCATCACTGACTTACCTTTTGCTCTTGTATCTGGGCCTTCACCACTTTGAACTCAGCCGATGGTGGCTTCTGATTGGCCACAAGCTCCTCGGTGTCCACCATCCAGCTGAGCAGGGACTCCAGGGCATCCTGGAACCTCCCGCAGTGCAGCAGGGCCTCCTGCAGCTGGGCTGCTCGCTGAGCCACCTGCAAAGTGCCAGTTGGTCCCACTTATTTACTAGCTTAATGAAACAATGAAAGTGCCTACCGGCCACCACTTTTCATGTTTATCTTCCTATTTGGTCCCAAATTTTCTTTTCCTTTTCATTTAAAGTCTACCCAAAGCATAGACAATGGACGGGTTGGGGGGTAGAATAGCATCAAACTTTAGCAAATAAGCCAAGAAGAGAAGGCTACCATCATAAACAGTCAATGACAAAACCTTTGTGATTTTGGAAATATCCAATGCATTTATGATTAACAATGAATGATTGAAGTATTTTCAGGCTGCTGAAAGAAACAATGCATTAGTCACTTTTATCAGTATCCTTGGGATTCTTTTTTTTTTTTTTCCTACTGATGCATATCAGGGATAATGATTAAAAATAAAAAGACTACAATTTTAAAATAATGATTATAACAGAGAGAATGAGAATTCTGTTTTGCTAGGCAAAATAACTATAAAGTATCCCATTAAATTCTGCTGGCTCCAAGCTCTGAGTCCTTATTTAACTGACCAGGGCCTTTGTCTTTTGGTAAATGGAATCTCTAGGTCCTACAATACCCTACTGCCCTTCTCATAGATCTCCTTTTTGTACTAAAGAAGTAGTTGGCAAGATATTTTAAGCACCATGGAATATATTTTCATCTGACACTGCATTCCAATTGTGTTCTAAGTGCACTACAATATGAATCTGACTTCAAAGAATGATAAATGTGGGCTTGAGACCTGGCGATGCTTAAGATTTCAATGCAGCAAAATTTGTGTGCAAACCATCACCACCGCCACCTGACAGGCACTGCCATCGAATCACAATTTTCTGGTAATTTATGCCATGGGAAGATCTGCTATTGTGGGTCAGCATTATCTCCTTAAGATATCAGAGCATTATTTCCCACATGGGTATTTTTTAATAGGTGGGGATCTCTACCTTAAACATAAAATAGTATTTGCTGCTAATGGTCTATCAGGAGGGTGGCAACCCTTAGTCCAGGGCAGACAGACAGGCATAGTTGCTTTCACTCGCACAGTGTAACCTATTAGAAGGTGAAATTTGTTGCTAACGTTTGAAAGTTAGAAGATTTCACTAAAAAAGTGAGATTTTTCCAGGTTCCTTGAAAGCAAATATACTCTTTGGCAACAGTGAGCATAGAACCTCAGAAGGTAATGCGTTGCTGGAGCTAAGTGGTTACTGTACCTTTAAAGGTGCATGAGATCTCTCAACACAGGACAGTGTCAAGGCCACCTGTTATTACACCTGCACTATTGTGTCTCTATCAAAGTCAAGATAATGACAGGGAGAGGCCCTGTTTCCTCCAGCTGGCTGCTTTCGCTTCTGCTTCCTCACAAGCCCTGTAGGCACTGGAGTCTGGGCCATCCAGTTTACAGCAATATAAAAAAAGTGGATGTGTTTAGGGAAGTCTGGCTACTGTAAATATGAACTGTGGTCACAACAAATGCTGGTGACTGATAACAAACAGAAAGGACGGCGAAGGGGAAGGCAAAGTTACCTTTTTATTGAGAGTCTTCCACCTGGCATTGACATCATCCAGATCCTGCTCCAAAGCTTGGGTGCTGGTGCTGTTCGCAGCACTCTGAATAAGGCCCTGGCCCAACCAGTTGACATCTTGCTGTTTAACCTGCAAGGGTTCAATCTCTTCTTTTTGGAATACCTGCAGTTGGAAGAGCAATAATCATATGAGTTATATGACCTAATAACCACCAAATATAAACATTTATTCAGTGATCGGATATCAATCACTAGAGATAAAGATAATTTTTGTTGCGTATTTATATCATAACAACCTTATTAATAATACAAAACGATAGTCTAAGTACATTAATCAGATTACCTATAAACCCAAGAAAACAGTGCATGTCCTCTCTTTATTGTTTCATTATCATAGCTCTAGAGATTTCCTATCATTTCAATTTAACTATAGTATAAAAATGTATGAAAAATGCTAATGAACAAAATGATACGATGGGCCCAAGATGAACCTATTTACTGGGCAAGGGCTCTTACAGGCATTCTCTAAGAATGCCTGCTGTTAGCTGGAATTAAAGTTTGATGAATCACTGACAAGATGATAAAGTGATCCACGATGCTAATCTATGACTTGCCAGATGGGCCAAAATACAGGGCTAGGAAAAGAAAAAGTGGCTTAGGCAAGCACTGCAGTAGTATGCATCCCTAAACATCTAGCCCCCTCAATGTCTATCAAGAGGCCAATAGGCTTGCAGAAGGCATGTAGACCTCACTCCTGGGCCTGATCATACATACCACCAGCACAGCAACTGTGGTTATGCTTTGGTCACAGCCTCCCCCGTCAGCAGCTGCCCCCCGAAACCCGACTCCTCCTCTCATTCAACTTATGGTCCCCGGTTGCCTGCCCAAAGAACTAATATGTCTGCCAAAACCGGTTTGGCTCAATGGATAGAGCGTCGGCTTGGGGACTGAAGGGTCCCGCGTTCGATTCAGGTCAAGGGCATGTACCTTGGTTGCGGGCATATCCCCAGTAGGGGGTGTGCAAGAGGTAGCTGATCGATGACTCTCTCTCATTCATGTTTCTAATCTCTATCTCTCTCCCTTCCTCTCTATACGAAATCAATAAAATATATTTTTTTTAAAAGAAAAAGAACTAGTATGTTAGAGAAAATGCAAGCTCCATGGAAGCAGAAAGTTCTCTTTTCCTTATAATAGTTTCATGCCCTGGACCTCCCATAGAACCTGACATGCAATATTGTACATGATGATTATTTGCCAAATAAACATCAGTATAGAAAAATAATATTATGTCTTAGAATGAATGATATAACCCCTAAATAGATAATTCTAACTGGGGGGTGAGGGGTAGATCAACATTTTCATAGACAATATAAATGTGTTTTTTTAAAAATATATTTTATTGATTTTTTACAGAGAGGAAGGGAGAGAGATAGAGAGCTAGAAACGTCCATGAGAGAGAAACACCAACCAGCTGCCTCTTGTGCCCGCAGCCAACGTACATGTCCCTGACCGGAATCGAACCTGGGACCTTTCAGTCCGCAGACCGACGCTCTACCACTGAGCCAAACCAGTTTCGGCATAAATATTTTTTAATACAGAAGTTAAAGGATGTCATAAAGAAAGTAAGTTAATTTAACTCAGAAAGGAAAGTTGCAGCTAAGATATTAAGGTGAGACAAGGTTTGGTGTTCTGAGCTGTTATACTGTAGGGCACTATACAAATATATCAATAGCCCAAGTGAACAAACAGTTAAGCAGAACACATGAAGCATAACAAAGGCAAATACCAAAACAGTACTTAAGATGAAATTCAGGCACAGCGTGGAAAACAACTGTGAAAAATACAGGGGCTGCAGGAGACAAACTTTCTAGACTCTGGCCAAGGCCCCAAAAGCAGGCTACTTCCGTGTTATTGTATGAGTGAGTACATTAAGGAACAGCAAACAAATTAATGATCATTTCCTCTAGAGTTCCCCTCCCATACAGGCCATTTCCACACTGGAGAACTGTCTCAGTATAACAATACCATAGTCACATAATCAAACAGATTATAAGAATTCCCCAAGTCACAGAGGGACAAAAACACAAGCTTTTGTAAGTTTTTAAAAGGCATACATTTCCTTAATAAGGCATTGGAAAGTTGAGACAAGGTGGTAAAAATAGAGTTTGGTGCGGTATTACGATTCTACTTCTTTTCCATACCACTTTCTAAGTTACTACTCCTATGAATCGCTGTGGATATATTTTACCACACAAACACACACACAGACAGACAGACACACACACACACACACACACACACACACACAGGAGGAGGCACTGCTACCTTCTAAAGCCCAAGAACTTGTCTGGTACATAAGGATTCAGGGAAAAGTTCTACTCTCCCTCTCAGATAATTTCCAGGACAAAAAAAAAAAAAAAAAAAAAAAAAGTGCACCTTAATATAATGTTGCAGTAAATGGCCTTAATCTCTTTCTTACCTTGGTTTGAAAGAAATTAATTTTAGAGTTGCATATCAGAGTAAGGCTAGGTGAGTCTGTGGTAATTTTCTGAAGCACTTACAAAAATACATGAAGGGTTATAAAAGTTAACTACTAAAGAACCTATGCACTCCTAAGAGCCTCATTACTTTCTACCAATAAACTGCAAGATCCTTTACATAAAAATGTACTTAGCCAAGCTTTTACACTAGCATGGCCTTTAAAGCATGCTCCGGGAAAGGGCATCGTTGATTCGAGCAATCATTTCATGGACTGAGAAGAGAAACTTTTCTGAAACTGTCCAAATCCCTTATCTCTCTGTGGTAGCAAAATACTTACCCAGGGAGCCTTTCTCCCTCATCTAGTCCATAAGCACACACAGAGAGAAGCTTAAAATAAAGTAAAATTACCTCTGAGGCAAAGTTTACCAGAAGAGTTAAGAAAAAAAAACTACCAAAATAACCGAACTTCAGTCTAAGTGGGAAGAAAAAAATTACAGGCCTGACCAGCAACCTCTGCTTATTATGGGGCTGCACCCTTCCCTCTCCTACCTCACTCACCACTCACAGGGAGTCAGACGCTAGCTGTCTGGGCTGCAAACTACAGCACAATGCAAATTCTCTGCTTCCACCGGCAGAGCTGCTGGGGGAAAACTTGCAGCACATTTTAAGACGTCCTTAATTCGAGTGGAGTACTTCGCAGACCACAACAATATAATGTTGTGTTTGTACCTTCATGACTAAGCCTGTTCAAGCTTAATAAATCCAGTGCTACTGCCCCTAAATGGCAGTGTCTTAAACCACAATTTGTGTAAAAGCTGAATGTTCACATAAATTCACAGTGGAGGCATTCTGAGCGATGGCACACAGCCACCAGCTGCACAACCAATAGCAGGACTCTCGGCAGCTGGGAGCAATCATTCCCGCAACACCCCCCTCCCCCCCAATTCGTTTGCAGTGATGATCCACTTATCGATATCTGGCACCTCGGAGGGCACTCGTCGCCCCCGCCCCCAGAGGAAACACCAGTGACCACTTGGGAACAGAAGCACACAATTTGGCAGGCAGCGTGTCCCGTTTCCGTGAGTTACCTGAACTGACGGAAAGCCATTACAGACCGTGTCCAATACTCCTGCCCGGGCCCTGGTTTTTCGGGGACCTTTCTTTCTCGCTGCTCTGAATTTTGGAGAGCACTTCGTACGGGCCACCTCCGTCTCCTGGGCAGAGGGAGGGGCCTCTGCTTCTTCTTTAGGTGGAGGGTTCGATTCTTCCGAATCGCATCGTGGTAACAGGGACACGTTTTCTTCCAAGCTTCTGTCTCCACCATCTACGTGATCTCCCCCCAAATCTAAATGAGAGATCCCCAAATCCTCAGGAGAACCTGCCACGCACTCCCTGCTCTCTGCTGTGATGGGGAATTCTCCTGGTCCGTAGGTTTTCCCTTCTCCTCCTGGGTTAGAGATACGCTCATCTTCTCCATCTCTCATTAATGGGTCACCCTTCACAGAGGTCTCCCCCCAATCATCCTGCAGGCAGCAGTGTTCACCCGGGATTTCCCTCCGACCATCCACACCAGTGGTTTGCTCCAGGGGAGACACGCCACGTAAAACCATTTGGAAGCTCTCATTAGGGTGGGCGCTTCTACAGGAAAGCAAGGGGACTTTCTGTTCGCTAACGGGGTGGGCAGGAAGCAAGGGTGCATGTTGTTCTGCTATATGAATGTCTTCGGCAGAAGACAAGCTTCTGATCTGTGACTGGTCCCCGGTTAAAATGGCCTGTTTTTCTTCCCTCTCGGCTGGAGGGCTGCACAAGCCAGAGTCGTCCTCCTCCGACGTGAGGGAGTTCGTCCCCCACCTGCCCTTGCTGGCCTTGCCAACAGCCTGGGACACATCAGCAGGTTCAACAGAGGAGCTTTCGCTTTTGTTTGCATAATCCATAAAATTGGCCGGGACGAACATCCGCCAGGACCGTCGATGCTCTTTCTTTTCTGCGTGAGACTTGGCTTTGGGCAGCCCCGTGGTTCGGATGATGTCGCTGTTGAGTTTGAGCGCGTCGAAGATCATCTTTTCATCGAGGGTGTGAGCCTCCCGGCCCCTCAGCTCAAACACGTTGGAAGAAGCCAGGGCACCGTTGGAGCATAGAGAACTAACATCCAGTGTCCTGTGACTGTAGGGCAAAGTCCGGTCTCCGAAATGCCTGGAAGCCAGGCTGCCTTTGGAACCCGAGTCTATCTGTTCGTTTAGCCGGACGGTGTCATAGATGGACCGCTGTGGGACATAACAGTCTTCGATGTTCAGGTCCTCCTCCTCCTCACCCTTCCCTACACACGGGGGATTCTGACGTAAACAGTCTGGTCTGCTGAGTGGCTTCCCCATCTTGCAGAAAGTTAAAGCAAATAGTGCAGCTCTTGAGACAGAAATTAAGACATAAGGCAAAGCATCTCTCGAAAAAGGGATAGCTCTGCACAGAACTAACTATACAGTGTCTCTGGCATAAAGACACATGCTCAAATAATGTGTGTCATAATCTATGAGGTGGTTAAGGTCATCATCAGTGCTTCAGTCTACATGCAACTATCCTTGTTGCTGGTTGTTTTTAGAATGATTCTAAAAAAATAAAGTGCATCAAGAACACGGAGCAGAAACCACCTAACCAACTGACCCCAGCCCCCACAGTTCCCTTTCA